TTTATAGGAATGTTTGATCAGTCACCAAGGTTATTTCTCTTGCTATTCTTCTGCGTAAGAATCCTCTGATTGAGGATCAAGAGAATTCTAGGTGAGCTGTTTTGAGCTCTCGTCCTACTCGGAACCTAATGATGAGTGTCATTGGCTTTGAGTAATGAGTTCCAGAACGTCTTGGTGTTCAGATCTTGACTATAAAATGTCCTACCTTTACCCATCCAATGCTTTCATATCTCATCATCCGTACCAAATTCTTCTCATAGACAAATACATAGATTCACACTTTTTTAGAATATTCATTCTTGCCTTACCTTCAAGATGATGATAAAATTACTTCCAACTGCACTCTTGTGTTTTATACTAATTTCTTTTGTATCCTCAACTGGTAAGTCATTAAAACTCAAATTTGAATGTTCCTGAAGGTGTGGGTTACAAAACGTTTGGAAATTTGACAGAACTAGAGGATGCCAAAGAGATAGCTACCAATTTTGCAAGTCATCTAAGAGCTTCTTCCAGTGATGAACTTCATGATATCATTGCCCCTGGGGCAACATTCTACCATAAAAGGCGGTTAAATAAACCAGGTATGTTTGCCACAGAGTGAACCTTCCCTTAAACATACCTGCCTATGCTACCAAATGTTATTATTTGATATTCCTCAAATTGGTTGACTTTATTTTCTTTTCAACATTAGATTTCCTTAAAAAGGTGGAACGAGGCACCTACTCGGATTTGCAATTCTCTACATATGATCGTAAGTCATAATGAGGTTCCCAACATGAGATGGGGAAAAATGTTCTAATGATGTTTAATTTCAACAATATAGCTATAGTCACCTTCAACTTGGCCATGACAACATTTAAGATCAGCTTCATGAATGGTTCAAGGTTATCATTCAGTGTAGATCTTGGGTACGCGCAAAACAGGTTGAGTATCACATCTGGAAGCTTCTAATCAATCCTTTTCAAAGAAGTAATTATATGCATATAGCTTTATCTGGTTAGTGAGCTATGATTTTGTAGTAATTTTACGGTACATTCTGATACCCTGAAGTAACCTAGTAGAAGAAGACATCAATTTGTGCATAAGCAGTGTGTTTTTGTTTGACAGACTTGGATACATTTAATATTTTTTGTTCCACACTAAGTCCTACAAATTTTAAGTGTGTGTTCCAATTCCAATTCAGTGAACTGGCAAAAAGGGAGTACATAGGGCAAACTTACAATCTCAACTTTGAATGTTGTGCTTTTTGCCCAAAAGGTGCAAATTCCACATCAGTTTTTAATCCCTATGAAAAGGCCCTCATCAATCACACCCACATCAATTTTCATCAACTATCCAACCAACATTTTCATACATTTTACATCTCAAAATTCTTTACTTCAACCATCCATCTACAGTCAATCTAGATTAGCTTGGCCAATCGAGAATTTTTATTTTTATTTTCAGACGTATACAGGCCAATACAGGCCATTTTATAAGCATACATAGCCTTCAACTGCGACACCACATTCAGTTGAATGGGCCCGTTTTGACGATTCAAGCTTCTGACTGATCAGCATCTATCAGCATCAATCCATTCCGTCCAAACCCATCCTTAAATCACTTGAATCCTCTTTACCTCGTCACTAACTATCCTTTGAAAATTGTGCATATCATCTAGGCTTTCATCCCGCGATCCAACCACCCTTTCGATCTCGGCTGTAACAACTCGGCTTTGACTCAAGTAAGCTCTTTGAATATTGTTCTCATATTGCGATCGATCATCTGATCTTTGAATATCTTCCTTGTCTGTCCAATCGGTCCAATGTCCTGGTCCATTCATCAGATATCTCCAAGCTCATCGACTCAATTCCCTATCTTATTACCAATTCAGGGTGTGTATTTTCTTTGACTTAAGTCCTGTTCACCGACTAAACCCCCGCTAATTGAAATGTTACATTTCTTTGGACTCCCTTCTGCCTGTCAACTCAAGCCCTGGTCTTTGGTTTAGACACTCTAGAGTAATTTGGGGATCCAGCAATCTAATAGATCCAATCCAGCGGCGAGGATCGATCTTGTTTTATTGCAAATCATCAGTAAGAGGCTACTTACCCAGTCTGTGGATCTCATTATATTGTTTTTTCTTGCTATCCGATTTCGCTGTGCTTCTCGAGAAAAAATCAGTGTCTTATCTGTGTATAGGAATTTTGTACCTGTCATCCCAATGCTCAATCAATTCAATAACATGGACTGTTTACTGTCATCATCCTCAGGTCTAGTTGATATAATTTCTGGGCTTTTTCTGTCGCCTATGAGTTCATTAGGCCCACAGTCTCAGAATGCACAAACCTCTTGCAAATGCTTAAAGACTTGCACTGTACTTTCTTACTTTGCGGTCATGAAGAACTGTCTTATTTCCTTTTCAGTAGGACCTGAGATCATACTTGGTGGTTGCTGGCTTCCTTGCATACTCCAGTGTGGAGTACACGATCTATGACTTGATCTAAGAACTGTTGGCACTCTGCCTATCTGTGACCATGATCATTGCACACGATCTCCTCACTTTCTGGCATGGTATCAATGGATTTGGAAAGCGATTGAAGCACCACATGAAGAGACTGTATCCCAATGGCAAGCTGAGGCTAGATGAGATACAAGCAGAATGAACATTGAGACAATGGATTTGATCTGATGTGACAGATTCAAAGCTAAGGAAGATAAATAAGAAGGGAACGATTGAGTTAGTCAACAAATGGCCAGAGCTTAACAGTTGAATTTACGAGTTGGATCTGGAGCCTAAAGAAGGGATTCAAAAGTGAGAACACGGGCTAAAGACAGCCCTTCACTTGCATCAAAGCCAAGATTTCAAAACCGATAGACTCAAATAGACATAGAGGGTTGAATCGAAGACGCAGAGGGCCAAATCGAAGCTTAGAGGTCTGAATTGAAGTAAAGAGATTGAATTCAAAGCCTAGAAGACAAGGTCAAGCTCACACTAGAGGTCCTTGGCTGAAATGGAATATGGGATCGATGCGTGTAGGATGAAAGTACGGTGCTGAAGGTTCATAATAGTGAAGCGCTGTTGACTGTGGTCAGCAGTGGTTGGTCTGACTCATGACCAGACAAACATAAGCATATGAATCATATGTTTATGCTTATAGATTTACCTGTATTGCTGTAAAAAATAAATAAATAAAATCTGCTCGGACAAGCTAATCTAGATTGACTGTATATAAATCCAACAAGTCCTTACCCAAAAACCCATTCTCATCCCTTTTTGTTTTGTCATAACTTTTTGATCATTACCAACTCTATTCTTGCAATCTGTTTGGAGTCTCTGTCACTTTACATCTATTTACTTCAACCCTCAACAAATTCTCACCATACACTTCTACACACCTCCTTATATGTATGGACCTCACAAACCATCAAGAATAATGATCACTCCATTTACATTTCATGCAATCATCAATTTCTCTAACTGATAAGACCAAACACATCTTCCACTAACCCAAAACCTCCCACTTCAAGAATACCTTTGGTTCCAATCCATAAACATTTAAAAACTCAACCTATGCTCCATTTCTGTTCATCAAGGTTGGTGTATTCTTTAATAAATCGTAATAAAATGTGACTCCATGGATCGGTTACTAATACTAGAAATACACTCAATTATTGATTCTTGGTGGTTGTAGGATAAGGTGAATGGGAAGCATCCAAAGACAACCACAATGTCATGAAATCTTGAGCGGCTTTCGAGTGACTTGTAGAACAGTAGAACTGATGTTCTTTAGTACTCTAAAATTGTAACCCACTAATACTTTTTTTTTGAGATTGGAGAGATTGGAAAACATCGATCCTCGTAGTCTGAATGATCAACTTAAATATGTGATTGTAAAACCCCGTTTTGTAGAAAGATTGGTTTATAAGTTCTACCATATGAAACCGAATAATGCTTTCTTCATGTATATAAATAAATCAATCCTTATTAGTTGAAAGAAAGAAAAAAGTTTAATTTTACAATTGATATTTCAAGAAACCAAAACCCGTTTCATAAACTCCTGAATCCGATCTTCAATACCCTCATTCCCATCAATCCGATCCACAAATCCCAAAACGTCTTGTAATACGTTTCCTGCATTCGATGAATCCAATCTATAATTTAAACTTTGATTTGAATGGCTCACAGGTTGACTGAAATCCAAAACCTGAAGAACCTAAAACCCCTCAAAAACATCAGAATTTTATTCAACAAAGATGTGTTGAGGAAAGACTTACAGGATAAGTTGAGGATTTAGAAGTAAAGTGTAAGCTTTTAGATCTTTCGATTATCGGAATCGTTCCACGTTCAACCCAGAACCATAACCCATAAGAATCATGAACTCTAATCTAAAACCCCGTCCAAAAAGAAAAGTGTCAAAAAAAACACACACACACAAAAAAAAAAACAAGAAAGAAAAGAAGACTTAACTTGGTTTGAAGAGAAAATTAGGATCGAATCAATTGAAAAAGAAATCAAAAAAGATCCATCTAAATGATGATCAAGTATGACGATCGAGTTACTTAAACCTTGAATCGAAATTGATTTTAGTTTGCACATGTTTCTTAAGTCTAAAATAGAATGATTTATATGAAGAAAAGATATGGATGAGGTTTGGTAAGAGATGGGGTTCGGTTTGAATACGATCCCGGTTTGATTTACGATTTGAGTGCCATTGTGGTTCGGTTCCGATTCAACACTTGATTCTTTGGGTTCATCTTCATTCGGTTTACATTTCTCTCGATCTGCATCGATAATCAGTTGAGGTTGAATTCGTTTAAATGAAAATTTAGGTTTCTTTTCTTGATGTGTTGGTTGATGAGTTGATAAATCTGTTAAGATCTTAATACAATTCTTTAAATGATAAGAAGGTATTTCTTTTGCAATTTGATTTAATGATGATTTAATAATGATTAATTGGTTGGGATCAGGTTTAAGTTGATAATCTGTTGATGATGTTGGAAGTTAGTTTTGTTTTTTGCTTTTGGAATGGAAATGTAGTGAGGATTACTTACTTTTGATTTGTTCATTGAAGGTTTTTAAGAATTCGTCAGTTTTGTTTGAAGTGGAAGTTGAAGTTGAAGTTGAATTGATATCTTCCATAACTTCCAAAACCTTTAAATAGTTTTTTATTTTTTATTTCAACTTTTGTCTTGAGACTGATTTCTCTTGAAGTTGCTGCTACTGCTGAGTGCTGCTGCTGAGTGACAGTGATCCAGAATGAATTCCCAATCCGATCCTAATCAAACAGCAATCATCACAGTAGGATCAACCTCATTCGACCAACTCATCCAATCAACCTTAACCATTCCATCACTCAACTCATTCATCAAATCCCACATCACCTCATTAATCATCCAACACGGTACAACACCTCCTACCATTCCATTCCATCTCATCTCATCAAACCAACCAAACCAATACTCATACACCTCAACTCTCCAAGTCACTTTTTACGATTTCATTCAAACCATTGATCATTTACTTTACACATCTAAACTCGTCATAAGTCATGCAGGTAAAAACCTTTCTCACTGTTTTCTTTCTATATCAAACTTATGATCTACTTTTTTGGTGGGGTTTTTTGTTAGGTTCAGGTTCGATTCTAGCTAGTTTAGGTTTAAACTTCAATCTATATCAAAGACACTTAATCTTTATACCTAATCATACTTTAATGGATTCACATCAATCTGATCTAATTGAAGAAATCTCAAAAAACAATTTAGGTCAAACTTGTGAACTCAAGTAAGTTTCAAATCCAATCCATTGAAAAATCTTCTTTCTGATGTTGGATGAAATCTTGGGTTTCTTTTTGGGATGATATGTAGTGAGATTGCTGAATTGATTGGGGCTTTGAATTCGGGTGTATCTTCACTTGGTTTGGTTCATCAAAACATTCAAGGTGGTCCAAAAAGGTTTTGTGATTTACTTAATCAAGAAATGAACTTGATTTAAACCAAAAAAAAAAAATACATAGATTTCTTCCATTACAATTCCAACACCGTATTTGTTTTCATTTTTGTTTTCATTTTCGTTTTCATTCTTGGTTTTTGTTTTTGTTTGGTTTTTGCTTTTCAAGAGTTGATGTTTAAATTATTAAAACTAAACTGAAGACAATCATTCAAAACACCAGACCCCTGCTGAACCTCACCCGAAACCAAAAGATACCTCAACTTTTTCTTCGAATCCAAAACGACTGTAACCGATCCCTTGGAATGATCTTCTTCAAACAAAGTCGGATCTACTAACCATTCCCTCCTATCCAGCAACCAAAAGAAAAAAGTCAGATATTTAAGGAAATGGGGGTTTAGGAGATAAAGGGAATTTTACTTTTCAAAGATCGAAAAGGTGAAAGGATGGATCGTATGGTTTAGTGGGATCGGAATAGGTTCAAAGAAGTTCGGATCAAGTAAAATGACTTCATTCGTTTCTATGTCAAACTCTACTTGAGGTCTTTTAGCTACCCAAAAGAAAAAATCAAATTAGATAATTCACTTTGGATTGGGTTTTTTTTTCATGGGTTTGGTGAGGTTTTTGGGTTAGAGGGATGGGTTACCTGTTTGAAGAGCTTGGGTAATGGAAATTATCGAGGCGTCTAGAACGTTTCCGTCATTTGATAAACAGATCACGTCGATGTAAATTACCCATACTAGTTTTTCTGGTTGGATTACTAATGAACTTGGTTCTATGATTTCTGATCTTTCATTCAGGAAAAAAATCAAAAATCAAAAATCAAAATCAGTTTTTTTTGGTTTTGGTTTGGGTTTGGGTTGGGATTTACGATTTAAGAATCATTTTTAGTTGGGTTAAGATCGTTTGGGATTGTTCATTGATTTGGTTTGGTTTGAATTTCGATGAACAGAGTGATCCGATCTCTATATTAGGTACTAAATTCATCAAAATCAAAAAAAAAAAAAAAAAAACAGAAAAAAATTGTCAGTCTTTAGTTTTTGTTGAATTGGCAGTGTAAAGAATTTCTTTTGAGGAGGGAGTTTGGATTTACTTATGTATCCTTGGTTTGGATTCATGAAATTCGGTTCTGATACTTCGAACCTGATACCACATAAAACTGACGTATTACCAATCGAAACTAAAGATGAACCATTTGAAGTTGATATCGAATCTAAAAAGAAAACCAAAAAGAAAACCAAACTCTTGAGCAAAAAAATTCAAAGCAAAAAAATCTTGAGCAAAAAAAATCTTGAGCAAAAAAAATCTTGAGCAAAAAAAAGTCTTGAGCAAATTGCATGATGATAGTTTTTCTTTGGAATAGAAACTTAACTATTATTAATTTTAATCAACCTAATCTGACGTACTGAACTTCTAATCAAATCTGATCTTTTGTTTTCTTTAATCATTTGTTTTAAATAGTTTATTGGTTGTAATCTTTTATAGTTTTCTATATCGAATTCGTTTAGTTTTGAGGTTTCTTGTGATGATGCCAATGGGTCTTTTGATTTCATTTTTAGTTTGTTCATTTTTGGATGGGTTCGAGGTTTGATCGGTTTGGGGGTTTTTGCGGTGTGGAGTTGGGTTGAGTCAGAGTGGTTTGGGTTTCTTTTGGATGGTGGTTTTAAGTTTTACAAAATCACAACATCAGGTCATGTAAATGCCCCGATCCCGATCATCACCCAGGGCGCGAAACCGCTGGCGCCCGAGCATTGCCCGGCCCTGAAAAAGACCCGATCACATCCTCACATTCTGGGTGGTCATTTGTATTTGAGGTTCCATGACCTGTTCCAGCTGCTTGTCTTCTTATGAATTTTGATACCACATCCGTGATTTGAAGTCCTGGTGTTAAAGCCATGTTGAGCATGATCAAGGGACTGGTTTCTTCTATGAGTACACCACATGTGTGTTACCATTGGCTGATAAGTTATGAACCACAGCATAAGACATCATTTGGCACCCCCCATTTAAAGCTTGGTAGGTGTATCCCCCTCATCTCTTGTTATGATTCAAACTTGAGGAATTCTCTTTCCCTTTCTTACTCTGTCAAAGCTGAATCTTTTACATGGTCTTGTTTTGATCTGGCTAATGACTTGTGTTTTATTAATCTGTGGCTTCTGGTGATGGCTCATGATTGACACACACAAGCAGTTTGCCTAATCTTAACTAAAAGATTGAGGCTTACCTGAATAACATGTGGATTTCCAGGAGGGGAGTGCAAACCTATGATCAAGGTCTCTTTTGTACACTTTTGAAACTGAACTCAAGTTTAGAGGGAGAACATTGGGCAATTGGAATCACAACTTGAAATCAACAAAATTTTGAGTGAACGCCTGGAATTTCAAGTCATAGGGGATAGGTGTTGGGGCTTTTTGGATAAAGATAGAGATAGAGATAGATCAATTCTGGGTAATTAGAGTGACAAGCACTGGGCTGGATTTAAGTAGTTTCTTGATTTTATCATGATCAAATCAAAGAATAATAAATGAATGAATGATACTATGTACTAAAAATACAGTCAAATCACTGAGATCTGGTGAGCTTGGTGTACAATTTTTGTACCAGGTAACCAATTTTGTGTACCAGAACCCAGAGTCAAAATCCTTTCTGCAAGACAAAATTGGTGAACAAAGGCTTGACAGTATTGTTGTACCAGCTCACAGAAATAAAGTGACTCAAAGAAAGCTATGGAAAATTGTTGAATCAAATTATGATGATATAATGAAACAATTCAAAGGAAGTTTGTCCAATTGGAAAATTAATTCAATTCTTAATTCTCAAGCCTCACAACTGAAGAAGATGTCAAAATAGTTTGTGAAGACTTCAGATCATCTTGACTAGGACTGAAGGAAGAACAGAACTGATGAAACTATCTGTTTTCAGCTGTTCAACCTTCTAATCTGCGCTTCTGTAAGGTCTTGAAAAGGTCACAAGTAAAGCTAAATGGTCAAAGAGAGACTTGAAGGATATCATACATTGGTTGAAAGTCAATAAATACCTTACATGAAGGTGCACGCGGATTTTTTTGGGAATTTTTTGAGCGTTTTAGTGGACATTTAATCTCTCTGTCCAAGTTATCTTGAAGATTGAAGAGGAAATGATCAAAGATTTCAACTTGTTTGAATCGCTTCAATTTCGTATTTACGTTATTGTTTTTGTGCGTTTTGTCCTTTCTGATCACAAAAATTTGATCGTTCTCGTTCCCGCAGAGATTCAGCTCAAGAGGGAATCCATTATGAGGAAATAATCAATTCACAAGGGTAAGTCGATTGGGCATTGTTGCGGTCCCATGAAGCAGAAAAGTGGCGGCTCGAGATGGTCACTGCTAACCTGAAATCTAATCACACCCCAAACTTCAGTAAGGCGCGTCCTCCCCACGAGTATGATTTTACCCCGCCCTCTTCGAATCAGCTCATCAGATTGACGTCCAAGGCTAGGACCGGCCCGAATGCCGGCGTGGGGGGGTCTTGATGCTATGTATCATCTACGTATTTCCAAAGGCTCATGAAAGTTTTGTAGAAATGGACTGCAGAGGACTACTCACCAATAAGTTTATAACAGGAACAGCTCAAAGTCGAGTCTAGACTCACTCGTTGTACGCTGCGCTTCCCAATCAACGGTTAGCAGCACTGCGAGCCAGAGTTGCGTTGGCAGATTTTTGAAGCGAAACGTAATTCATCAACAATTTGCACGTCTCTGGAACGTAAGGTTCGAAACTTCCAAGCAGCTCAAGCAAATCTTGAATTTGTTGATCTCCGATCATTACATCTACTCCTTACCCTCTGCCCACATCTCAATTAGGCACGATGTCAATGTTCCACTGGGTGCATCACGGGGTGGATCGGAGCATTAGTCATTTGTGTCAAGGTGCTTCTTAGTTTTAATTATCATTTTGTATAGTATGAGTCAAATAATGGGTGAAGGGAATTGTTCATCTATTTATGACATGTTTCGTCAATTCAAGGCCCACAAAATCCATTGAAGTTTACAGAGTCTGTTTTATTCTTGTCTGGTGTCTGGCTATGGCAATCAAGATAGGCCAAGCCACCACAAATATGGGCAACTATAATGTATTTGTCCCATGAGAAGGAAATGAGGTATACCTCTATGATTTACATACACTTTTCTATCTTTTATATTATCATTTGTGCTTCAAGTCTTGCGCTCGACAACCCAGCGTAAAGACTCACTCGCCGTTTAAGCAGTGCTGAGTACATGTCTTATTACATCACGGAGAATTTGAACCAAAGCAAAACGCAATCCATGATCTATTTATTCTGAAATTTTTGACTCTGAGGTAAATTCAGAAAATGAGTTCGCAGGCTTTCAAGAAGCTGAAAAAAGCTCGAATGTTTTGCTATATTTTGATGCCCGATCAGTTGCTCCTCCCCTTTCCCAGAGACCTGCCCCACAACATTTCAATTGATCATGATGTCAATGATTCCCTGGGTGCGTCACCGAGCGGATTGGAGCTTGCGCAATGTGTGTCATTGTTCTCGTTAGTTTGGATTTCAACTATTAAAGTATCAGTTGATTGTTAAAGGAAATTGATTATCTATTTATGACATGTTTGGCCATTTCAGAGTCATCGGATTTCAAGCCCACAAAAATCATTAAACTATATAAAATTAGTTGAGAGCTTATTAGATCTTTGTCTGGCTTTCGAAATCGACATCCTTGTTGAAGCAAAATCAGAGTTTTCAAAAGATTTAGATCTCATATATTCGAATCTGCTTCAAAAGATCAATCTGCCATCATTATTATCCCTCTAGCTCATATTTAAATACCTAGAAAAACATTATGAATCAGATCCCAAGAGTTGGATATATAGGTTGTGGTGCAGCAGGTTTAACAAGCGCCTTAGATTTCAACAGAAGATTCGGCACAAAAGCATTGATGTTCTTAGATTTTAATCATCCAGGTCATTCGAACGAAGTAATAAAGCAAGGAAGCGTAGAATCGTGTTTAGAAATGAAAGGTCAATTTGAATTAGATTTTGAATCGAATATTGATAAATTTATTCAAAGATCAGATTGGATTTGTATACTCTCTACTAGTATTGGACATGAAGAGATTATTGAAAAATTCGCGAAGCATAAAGAGAATTTAAAGTCCATCAATTTCGTTTGGTTTACTGGAAATGGTATTGGATTGATTGCTCATGAAAAACTTGAACCTTTGAACACGTTCGAAAGCTCTTCAATACCTTATGTCTGTAGTGCAGGATCTTCTGAAGATGGAAAGATTAAGATTTGTGTGAATGCCTTCAAGAAGCGATTAGTGGTTGCTAGTTATCATAAACCTGATGATGAAACTAAACTTGAATTGGAGAAGATTGTCGGATTACCAATTGATTTTGAAAACCAATCTAACTTCCTTGAATTGATCTTAGTTACTTACAATGGTTTATTACATCCACCTATCATGTTAAACTCACAAAAAGAAATCCAAGAAAGACGCGAATTATATTTTTATCGAGATTTAATGACAAAAGAAGTTTGTAAAGAAACCATTCAAGCATGGGAAGAATTATGCGAAATTTCAAATTTATTAAAATTAAAACAACCAGATCATCCAGTCAAGATTGCTAATCAAAATTATGGAAATGATTATGATTTAAGTATTGATGGATTAAGATCATGGGCAGCTGAATCTGATATATTAAATTATAGACCCAACTTACCCAACAGCATGAAATCTAGACAATTGGATGAAGAAATGAGATCAATCTGTTCGATTTGGTTTTCAATTGGTAAAGCTTTGGGAGTAAAGATGTTCACAATTGAAAGTTGGTTGAAACGCGCTAGTGAAATTAATGACTTGAATTATTTTGAGATTGGTAGAGATTTGAATTTTCTTGGTTTAAATGATGATGCTGGTGTTGATCAAATCAGAGAAAGGTTTAAAATATCAAGTACATAAAAGAAACAAGCTACATTGGACAAGGCCTTTTTTGTGGGTCGGGTTTTGAGTAGATTGGGAGGCAAGTTGAAAGTCGTGAAGCCATGAAGAATTTAGGGTCTTGTACTTCAAAGTTTCCATCTGTTTTTTCAGTCATGTTCCATTGAGCTACCCATACATCTACTCGCAGTTCCAAGTGTTTGAATTGAGAAGGAAAACAAGCTAAAGGTAAACACTGTGCAATGCAACTCTGACCTCGAGAGCCTCAAGATGTTTTTGTGAGGTGGTGATGAACCAAAAATGAGGTCTTGCTTGATATGTTTGAGATTCTCAACACAAACCAGCTCACAGTTGTTGTTTCTGGGTTGTGGGACCACGTGTGATCTACATCTTTCTAAGCTCAACAGATCTTCCTGGAGGCACAAGTTTCAAGTATCTTGACTCTGACGTCATGCCTCACAATGCCTCCGATGAACTAGATCACGTATAACCCCGACATATTCCAGGAGCTCAAAACCTCGCATACCAGTCATCCAAACTATCTCTAGATACATCAAATCCCCCAGAAGATTAGCCAAACGCTGATTGTGTTCAAACATCCTGCAATACACTGAGCAAGATAGTCAATACCCATGCCCTTTGACCCTGGTCGAGTGGAACTTGATGGTGAGGCCTTTGGGAAAAAATTTGATGAAGGGTTGAGCATTTGTACCAAGAAGAATAGATACGCTCTGTGCCTCTGGAAGGAGATATACATATCAGTGTTGTACCACACTGACACAGCCTTCTTGTTTGACAAAACGCAGCCACAACGAGAGACAGGATGAGCGAGAGACGCAAAATTGGGAAGCTGTACCGGATCCGGGATGGCCCAAAGTCGTGCTCCGCGACTCGGGTCCCCGAGCACTCAGGCTTCTCTCCGGATCGGGCCCAGGCTACAGTCAACTCTTGATATAAGCAAGCCCCATGTATGCATATCGCGATGTAAGCAAGGGTTGCCGCGCTATTTTTTTTGGTATACGTGAGTGCTCCGCCAAAATCAAATTGCTTGATGCATAATGATTAAAGCATAAGATTGGCAAAAATATGCTCTTATCGCGAGATTTTCTCTGTGTATACAAGCATAAATCTCACAGGAGAGGAAAAATATGCTTTTATGGTGATTATTTGTGTGGTAAGTCCGACTGCTGGGCGGTACCATATTGACTTGGCGGGGCCGGGTTGGCTCTGCCCCGCTCAAAGCGGGGCTTATATTTGCGCGCCGGGGGCCCATTCTCACCATAAACGCATAATTCAAGCCAAAAAAGGGCAAAACTTGCAAACTTAACTAAGTCCCTCGCCAACGGCCCGAGGCTCGAGCGAGGGACTTACCTCAAAAACGTGAATTCTTGCCTGAGAAGTAGGCTGTATTCAGCAAAAAAACTCTACATTGCGATACTTTTTTTTGGGCTCATTAAAGTCACTTTTGTGCAAAGGAATAAAAGAAGCGCCACGAGCCATTACATGAGCTCAAGCTTTCAAAAGTTCCATAAAGTAACTGGAAGTGAATAAGCAGGGCAAACTGATTCTGATGTGGTGAACTGGAGTGCGAAACCGCTGCGGCGGCAGAAAGCTTCAAATCGGTTCAAAAACCTTCAACCACAAGTTGAAACTGTAGTTTGATGTGTGAGGAAATTTTGCCAAGACGTCTGCAAAATCTCCATCGTCTGAAGGTGCTCTATTGATATTCAAATAACTCTTGTATATATCTTATTTTGGTTGACTTCATATCTTCAAATAAATACTTTACCGATGTTACGCCGAACTCGAAAACTAAAGCCCTTGAAGGCATGAATGCGTCTACTGAGCCAAAGACTGACAACAAATATTGATTGTTTCAATTTATGTGAAGGCTAGATCATCGGCTTGTGTTTTTGATTCGCTCTTTTTGAAAGCCATTTACTGTTGATTGTAAGCATCACTTGCTTCTGATTGAAAGCATCAAGATAGATAATTGGTCTCCTTCAACACCCAATTAGCAACTGAGGGAGTCTTTCCAAGGAACAGGCTGATTGACTCTTGATACAATGTCGGATATGATATGGAAAGTGCTTCCAAGTGCTCTTTCTTCAAGAGCAACTTTTGTTACATGAGTACATATATTATGCTCTCTGCAACTTCGGCTTGAGTGGGAACTAATAGAGCTTTGTTTTATAGACATATATTTATGAGCTGGCAGTTTGTCAAGGCATACCAGGTAGACAAAACAAAGATAGCACGATTGGTGAAACAGCAGTTTCAGCAAAAACGTCTTTCCAGTCGCCTGGATCATCCTGACGCGGTCAAGACCTTTGGCTGAAACCCGCAGCAGATACAGCTAGTACATAGAGGTTAACCACTCAGCAAAGGACACATCTCACATCACCGAGAAGCAGTACTTCCAGTCACCTTATGAGACTTCTGAAAGTTTGAGCTCATGTAATGGCTCGTGGCGCTTCTTTTATTCCTTTGCACAAAAGTGACTTTAATGAGCCCAAAAAAAAGTATCGCAATGTAGAGTTTTTTTGCTGAATACAGCCTACTTCTCAGGCGAGAATTCACGTTTTTGAGGTAAGTCCCTCGCTCGAGCCTCGGGCCGTTGGCGAGGGACTTAGTTAAGTTTGCAAAACTTGAATTATGCTTAGAGCATCTCCTATCGTTCGAGTAAATTTTCAGTAAATTTTCTGTACGTAGGTGTTCGGTACAGTATCAATCGGTACAGAACTGTCGAAATCCACTATCGTTGGAAAGAAAGTGCCTCGGTACAGTACCAAATGGTGAGAACAATGGTTTCCCCGCAGATACCGAATCGGTAGAGGTCCAGTAAATTTGCTGGACCTCTACAGAATTTTGACCGATTCGGTGGATACCGAATCGTGTTTTAGACACGATTGGGGAATTTAAGGGTCGGTACAGTAAAATTTACCGTACCGAAGCCCTTTACCGAGACGATAGGAGATGCTCTTACTTCGTGATTATGCATCGCTCGATGTAAGCACAGCAAATCTGTCGACGGTCAATATGCTTACATCGAGAGTTGACTGTAATTCTCCCGAGGCCCGAGGCCCTGGACAGAATCAAGTCCGATATGAGGAAACAGCGGGGGTTATTTACCAAAAAAATTGTCAACACACCATGGACTCCCAAAAAATTGTTGGCGTACCAGCTTTAGCTGAGAGTAGTTGTGTGTTAGCTTCAGCATCAGCCAATATCTTTTCTTCGTGCTCTGCATGGATTCAACCACGGATAGGAACGCGACGAAATCCGGAAGGTGTCAAGGAGGAGCAGCCGGATACGAAGCCTAGTGAAGGTTGTATGGTATATGGTGCTGGATGTCAAATTGCGATTTGGTGGTGTCGGAATTCGAATTTTTATCAACCGATCAGTTTTTCAAAAGGTCATACTTCGCAAGTTACCGTGGTTAAACCGCTTTACAGTCACGATCCAGCGGCATCTTTCGAATACAAGAACCTGGTTTCTGCGTCTGTCGATTATCGATTTGTGAGTGGAGATGCCAAAGGTGGCGTGAAGATCTGGAAAAATGTACCTAGAGGCCATCACGGTACCCCGTCTGTATGTCCTTCATTGTTTTTTATCATCATTCGTTAGAACCCGCTACATTTGCAGCTGAATGTTGATGCGCCTGATTGGACTTATCATTGCCTTTGTTTCCTTGCACCGGTTACTTTTACTTAAGATCAGTGGAAAGCCTTTGTGGAATTGCCGGGTCAACAGCGCTCGATCTCATGTCTGGCTAGTGTTCAACTTCCACCATGCAGTTTAGAAAATTCTACTTCAGGCAATCAAATTGAATATGTTGTTGTTACCGGAGCGTCTGACGGGCGCCTGATGATATGGAAAGTGGCAGAGAATTTTGGTTCGTAGGAGCAGATGATAGGCTACAGTTTTGTGTTTTAATCAACTGATCAATATAATCCGTGTTTTCCAGAACATGCAAACGAGGTGACGGCCATAGCAGAATTGATCCAAACTATTGAGTGTGGAAACAAGATTGCCATGGACGCGACTTTGACTTTACTTCCCGGACAATCTGAAGGTGATTCGACATTATTCTCAAGCGTAGACTTCATCTCTGCTGACAAAACTTCTACGTTCTACATGCAGATATCATCCTGGCTTTAGCTCTGACCGATTCCCAAGTTGCTTTGTACTCTTTATCTTTACCAAACCTGTCGGTGCGAAAGCTCTATCATCTTCATAATATGCTGTTCCACAATCGTGATGTAGATGATTTAAGAATTATTCTGAATGATCTTTTCTGGAATCATATTCTCTTCTTCAGTTTAAATATGTTTGCTCTTTACCGGGCCATACCGATTGGGTTCGATGCTTAGACTTCATTTCAGATCCAAACAACTCTGATGATGTATTATTGGCTTCAGGATCTCAAGATGGATATATCCGACTTTGGCGTTGCTCGAAAGCTTATGATCCTACTCCAGAAACTGCCAATGATGTGAAAAGTCAAGCGCATGACGAATCTGCAGGAACAGCATCAGCTTTGGAAGATCCTTTCAAGGCTTTGGATGAGCTTACCCAAACCTTGAAAGATGAAGGTAAGATACCATCTCAATCCGAGGCTGAAGGATCCCGTCAGCCATCGCATCTCAAGGTTGAAATGAAAAGATACAGAATTAGTCACCCCAACGGACGATCAGCCTGGAACATGACTTCTGAGGCCGTTTTATTTGGTCACGAAGGATGGATTACGAACGTTCACTGGGCTTTAGGTCCTGGGAAACAATTACAGCTTATATCAACCTCATCAGATCGCTCTATGATCATCTGGAAACCGTCTGCCGAACACAACGGGATCTGGTTAAATTCGGATCGGTTCGGAGAACTAACTGGATCCACCAATCTGGGCTTCTTTGGCGCCCATCATTTTTGGAACCATGAGAGTGGCCAAGAGACGGTCTTAGCTTCTGGTTGGACGGGTGGATGGCATCGATGGAGTCGCCAAGGATCCGTATCCCCATCATTGGCAGGTGCGCTTTGGGAACCACAAATAGCACCGACTGGACATAGTCAATCTGTCACAGGTCTTGAATGGGATCGTGAAGGCGAATATATTCTTTCCTGCTCTCATGATCAAAGTACTCGCTTATGGGGGCCTTGGAGACGAGCTAATGATATCTCTAGTGGGGAGCTCCCACCATCAGCTCATTCAACCGAAAGTTGGCATGAGCTTGGTAGACCTCAAGTACACGGTCATGATTTATTTGGATTAAGCTTCATCCAAGATAAAAGGACTCAATTTGTCAGCATTTCTGAGGAAAAGGTGATAAGAGTCTTTGATACTACCGAACGATTTGTGCGCCTAGCGAAAGACCTACATGTGATCAATGTACCCTACGAAACTTCGATTCGTAAGCGTCACGAGAACGCGACCGTCCCACCTTTGGGCTTGAGCAATCGTATCGAAGAATCAGAAAGCCCAGAAGATTCACCTGCAGGTGATTTGAAAGATGCCTCCGTACATATTCAGCCAATTCAATGTCCACCCTTCGAAGATGAATTGCTAAACTGTACACTTTGGCCTGAGTGCGCTTTGCTTCACTAATCTATCTTGAATGCTCAATGATTTGCTGATATCAGCTAAATAATTTGTTAGAGTTGAAAAAGTTTACGGACACCCCTCCGAATTATCTGCTGTAGCAACATCAGCCTCAGGAAAACTTATCGCTTCAGCTTGTCATGCTACCTCAGCAATGTCTGCTAGCATCCGGATTCACTCAACCAGTTCTTTTCGTGCGATTGGAAATCCACTGGAATCCCATCAATTAACAGTGACTGAATTGGCATTTAACCATGATGATACTTTTCTCATTAGTGTCAGTCGTGATCGTGCATGGAGTTTATGGGCACCCTCAGGAGTCAGTAACCTAGATGACGAAGAAAAGGATGGAAATTCATTTGAATTAGTGCAGAAATTCGAAAAAGCTCATACTCGTATTATTTGGGACGTTTCTTGGGGTCCTAAAGGTTCAGAGGTCTTCGTTACTGGATCCCGTGATAAAACAGTTTGTACTTTTTCAATTTTTTCTTGATTTCTTTGTGACATCTGAACTTATATCTAAACTTGCAGGTCAAGGTCTGGTCAAAATCTACGGGATCGGAGTCGAGTGCTACTGTTTGGACTTTGACTGCTACCATTAAGTTTGAGGATGCTGTAAAATCATGCAGGTTTTTACCTTATTTACTCAATAATCGGTAAGATTATCATTATTCTTTTGTAATCATTCAATCCTAAGCTTACTGATTGTTATGGCTATTCTCCAAACTATTGAAATCGGCTCTTTACATCAATCGATATTTGAAAAGATTGATTCTTGGAGTAGGATTAGAAGATGGTAGTATTCACCTTTATTCTTCTTACCCTGACCGACTCGATACTTGGAACTTGATCAATACAATTGAAGATCAGTAAGTATTTCTTCATTCATAATTTCTTTTCGCGTCCCAGACAATCGATACTTGAACGTATCGAGTTTTACACTCGATATCCTGATTTTCAAATCCTTTTATGGAAATCATTTCTGATTATATTGCTTTTTTCAGGTATACCCACACAAGTCCAGTTGAGAGATTAGCATTCTGTCCTAAACCTACATTGGATGATCAAACAAAGATTAGACTTGCAAGTGGTGGTGAAGATGGAATGATAAGAATTACAGATTTCACACTGGTAGTTTAATTCAATCAAAATTCATCAGTGCTCAACATTGTAGACAAAAAAAAGTCAAAAGAAAAGTCTTGGAATTGGTTTTGAATCCTGTTATATCACTTGAAAAACATTCCAATCACTTGTTAAAGTTTCAACTTTATGAGAGAATGGTGTTTTTTTGGATCTTTGGGTTATGTATCAGATCAGGTCCTCAACTAAATAGATGTGTAGCTCTTCATAATGAAATTGTCTCCACTCAAAGTTTCATTCTGCTGGGTTGGAATCTGGTCTAGTCAGTTGCAGTATATTGCTTTGTGTCTTTTTTTGCAAACATATGAAAACTGGGGATGTCAGCAAATTTTTGCTTTTCTCCAGGAATAGTGAAATTTCACAAATGTCCAAATTTGCAGAACTTTACAATACAAAGATAATGTGTTTCTCCATGGTGAAAAATGATTGCATTTATGGAAAAATGATGAACAAAAAATTGTACCTGCAATTGAGGGCTTAGTTTTGGCCCGAAATGCTTGAAAAAAGATTGATGTAATGTTTTTTGGAGTTGCGTGAAGCATTGTACTCAGCATCAACTCAGCCAATTTATTTAGAGTTTCCTTGTCACTTTTGAAGGCTAAATTGAGTGAACAAGTCCTGTGTTTTTATGTGTTATATCAGGGAAACCTTTAACATCACCAAGCTGAGTGCTTGGATTCTTCTACATTGGCCAAAATCTCTCATCAAGAAGAACATAGCACAATTTGACTTGCCTGATTTTTTCAGATTTTTTGTACCAATATGAAGGATGTCATTTTAAATACTAGATTCAATCAATCTTGGCCATGGAGAAACACATTAGCCATGTTCAAACCTAATCTGGTTGCACAAAAACCCAGTACACCTGGTTGTCTTTTTGGCTGGAAGCTGTCAAAAGCCGTCAATAGATACGTAAAGTTACCACCCAAAATGCAACTGGGTGTACCAGGTTATTGTGTCAACTGGGTTAGGTTTGGACCTGGCTATCATTTGTGCAGTGTTATTGTAGGTTTATGTACATGTTGAAGGTGCAACATCAACATCAGATTTGAAATTAAATCAAGCATCATATGGTATGTTTGTTTAAAACTTAAAGCCTTCTTCAAATCAATTTTTTTGTTCCTTTGACAGTGGATCCTAGCTTATTTATATTGCAAGCTACAACCTAAAAGTTTTTGGTACATGTATTGCACATGTTGATGACATGACTGTTGCAAGTAATCATCTTTCAAAGTTTTTTTGTCTGGTTACAGAAAGATATCAGATGGATGAGGAGGTAGAAGCATATATTAGGAATGAAAGTCACAAGAGATTGTGGACCAGTGATTGTAGTGAGGTGCTGCAACCTGGTCCAATATGTAAGACAGCCAAGATCTTTCATGTACCAACACAACCTCCCTGGTGCCTTGTATGGGTACTACCCATTCATGACATTCTAATCAGTAAATAACAAGTGACCTATGTACAACCAATTTGAGAATGATCAATTTTTTTGAAAAGTGCATCATGGTGCAAAACCTGGTTTTCTTTTTCACCAAGTTCTGCTTTTGCGCCAATTTTTGAGATTACTACAGAGAATACAAACCCTGTGAAATTGTTTTTTGCTTGGTTTTGACCACTATGGCAACAACTTCTTTTGCAAACTTTTTTTGCAAAAAAAGGGGTCAATCATTCTCAAATTGGCTGTACCACTAAAATTCAATTATGATAGAATAAGGTTGAATCAGGTTAATAGGGGTTCTCAAAGTAGACCCGGTTTGTAAAAACCCGGTTGACCCAGTTGACTTTTTGGCTGTGATCTGTCAAAAAATGTCAACTCAATACACAAGGTTACTGCCAAAAAGCAACCGGGTCAACTGGGTTTTCTTGAAACCGGGCCAACTTTGAGAACCCCTAATGTTCACTTTACCAGTCTGGGTCGGACCTTCCAATCACCCAGGCTGGTGATTGCAATCTAAAGATTTGGGAGCTGGGGGCACCTACATCTAAATCTTTGACATTAAAATTTTGTTAAAACCATGCGGATTAAACCAAATGGATCCAATCTGCCTCACATGACTTAGATTTTATGAACTTGGAAAGTATGCCATTTTATGCAAATGTCATCTCTACATTAAAAATTATTTATCAATATGATTTGTGGTTACAATGCTCATTGGTATATCACATTTTTCTACAATCTAATGGTTCCAAGAATGTTGAAAACTTGAATATTTTATAATGAACAGTACTAAGATCTTTTATTGAGGGGGGGTATGGGTATTTTTTCAATTTTTACCTTCTAGAGACAAGTTTATAATTTACCAAAAAAAGAATCAGACCAAATTTGGAATGGTAATTTCCAATCACGACTCTGTAAACTAGGATGAAATGCATCAAAGTTTAATTTTTCTAATCTGTTTAAATAAGTTTTTGCTGGAGTCTGTCAAAGCAAAGAGAAATCATAAGAAATCGACGTTAATAGGTTTAACTATATTTAAGATTTGAAGTCAAATGGAAAAAGAAGAAAAAAAAGAACTCAACAGCAGATAAAAACAGTGGACGGATTGAAGGATCTAAATAAGTAGGAGATAAAGTTTGATTTATTAAATTTGAATGATGATGTTCTTGATCCATTAAAGTAGCTCTACAAGCATTCAATTCAGATGAAGCTAAATCAAAAATCCTCATAATAGTTTGTTGAACTCTTTCTAAGATGTTCTCATTAATCAAATTAGAAGAATGAGCCACTTTAAAAAGTTCTTCTTCTGAACAAATCATCAAATCGATTGGTAAAATTGAAAGATTAGATCTTGATTTATAATATGATGGTAATGAATGAAGTAAAGTTGAAATTGTTAATAGATTTGATAAATGTGATAATGCATGATCAATCTTTGATAATGGAAGGTTTGTTGTAGTTGTACTTGATAAATTGCAAGATTGAAGCAAAAGGGATAAGATTGAAAAGTTTGTAGATTGGGAATGTTTGATTAAATCATCGATTGTGTTGAATTTTGGATTCAGGTAACTTTTTTCCTAGTAAATCAAAACACACACAACACGTTTCAGCGTGTTTCAAACCTAGTTAGATAGATAGATTGGAGAGCTTCACCCTTGCATCTATTAACCTATTCAAATGATATTTTGTCAACTTGTGTTTTTTGATGACGGGATGAAGTGCTAAGATGACTGGATGATTGATTGGTGCTTGACTTTCACTATCCTTTTGAGATAACAAAGATATCACTTGATGTTCAATTTTAGATCAAAGATAATGTTTTTTCATGACTCACTTCTTTAAAACAAGTATTGATAGCATCTCTCCACCATTGATATCTCATTTGTCCAATTAAAGTTTTCCCACTTGAAATCGAATTAGGGATTGATAAAAGTTCAAGATTGAGAGCTTTGATAGCTACGAATGCAGATCGAACATCTTTTGGATAAAATGGGATTTGCAATCTGTTTTCAAATAAGATCATGATTAGTCTAAACATCTCATGTTAAAAGGAACTTTGTAAATCAAGAATGAAAACTTACACGGATGAATGATCTGATCTTCGCAAGTTTTCTAAACATTGATCGATTGGTGAATTTGTTTTTGATGATAAGTTTCTTTGTTGTTTAATGAATTGATGATAGGCTGATTGTCTAATTTTGATGAGATTGTTGAACATTCTTCAGCTGACAATGTTCATGAGAATCTGATAGTTGGCAACAAAATATGTTTCTCATTGATCGACAAGCCAAATCACATAACTCGAAACTCGGACCCGACTTTCATTGAGTCTGATCCGAGACCGGGCCATTGATTGCGGTTTGCCACTGGATTTGATCCGAGGTTTCCAATCTGAAATGGGAATGCCGTGTTGTTTTGCAAGGTTTTGCACAATTTCAAACTGCCTCATCTTCAGGCTCATCTCATGAGAGACAGATTCGGAGCCATCTATGGGTTGAATTAAAATGCAAAGAAACAAGTACCTGGACGCGCATAGTGGCCATCTGGGGAGTCAGCGAAAATTCTCTTATGCTTCTAAATTTTTTGATACTTACACCAATGGATAGCTGTTTTCAAAATGAAGACACGAGAAAATTGACTTCGATCATGATCAACAGGAGTGTGAATTGCGTGCCAAGCTTCCTGAAGCGCCAACTTGCCAAGAATCATGTGATCTCAAGGTACCCTTCCCATCCAAACTGCTTTGAAGTTGCCGACAGCGACGCGGCTAAACAGTTGCTGTCTTCCATAAACTTGGTCTTTTGTATCCAAGACTCTTGGAAGATGAGTGGCGCCAGAGTCACAGCCTAGTCGAAGGCTCTCGAAGATGTGACTGAGCATTACTGCGGCTCTGGATTCTGTAGGGCTGGCTTTCAATTACTGATGTCCGGGAAATGCATATTGCAGACTCATCCACCTCCGTCACATCCTTGAACCTTGATCACGAAAGATTGTGGCAGGTCTGTGTGGCCTCTTCCGTGATCAGGTGGAGGCGTGGTTCATTACTCTGATGCCCCTTCGGAAAGCTGTGCAGCTTCTACAGTCCTGCTCGTCCTTATAAGATCGTCTTTCTCCATATGCTCTACCTCAAGCATCACATCGACTGAATCTGATCAATATATATCTGCTGCCTCATCACCTCCGCTTCAGTCGTCGCACGTTTCCTCATCCCTTTTTCTAAAGAACCTTGTGAGTGATGGTATTTCTTCTACCTTGCTTCAGGAGGTTTCTGATGGTTGCATTCCATTCTTATTTAGACCAGTGACCAACACGCCTATAAACCTAATCAAATAGAGATATCACCTCCTTTTTGACTAGTATCACAAGATGGTGAGGATGCTTTCTGACATTTTTAAACACGTGTCATCACCTACTGACCATTTCACCACCACTACGCTCCATGAAATGACATAGTTCTCTATCAAGACCGCAATTATTCTGTTCGCTTTGATTGGATCGATCTACTCCGCCAACACACCGACACCCCACTACCAAAGTCAATGCTGCCCAAGCAATGGTGCGGCTTGTTACTCTCAGCCCAGTTATTGCTCTAACTCAATATCCTGCCGAAAAAATCTGGCAAGTTATTATTGCAACGAAGCTGGTGGATACTGTCATCGGCACTCTGGAACTCAAAATGTCGCTGTTGATCGTTGGTATCAATGCGGTTATAAAAGATGTTACGGAGAATTTAAATGTGTTACTCTCGTATTTTCTAGTTCAAACACTCAGTCTCTGAATGAGATGGAAACTCAAACGCCTCTTAGCATTCCTTCGAGTATTGAGAAGGGTCGATGATCGCATTAGATCATATGTAAGGGAGATAACTGTATATAGAAACATCTCTCACCTTGTTGACGACTTTCCTGCATGCGGTTTTTTATTCTTATTTTTTTGTATGCGTGTGTTCCAAAAAATTGTCTTTTCAACTTCAAACTCTGAATTTCCCTTATATTGTGGTATCTCTGAATCTGAAGCATCTGTTGATCTTGTTATGTTACGACTTTCCTGTTATTATGTTCACTTCACGTCTGTAACGAGCTGATTTCATTTGAACGTCCATTTACCTTGAAGCTTCGCGCCACAAACAGAGCCGGACTCAATCAAGCTAGCGTTCATGTTAGTAAGTGAAAGATAGCCATGGTAGAATTTGATGGATATGACTTGATTCCATCATGCAGTGCCAAGATATTGTGGATGAAAACAAGATGGCTAGACCATAACGGTGAGCTGTCAAATTCGGGAACAAACAAATGATTGCAACATTTCAAACAGACTGGATTTTAACAAAAAAAGAATTATCGAAGAGTATACATAGATGCATCTCTTCTGGAAGGGTTTCCGAGCTTAGTACTAGGGGTTGTAGCCTTCCAGAACTCCATCAATAGCGTTGACCACGAAATCTATCATGAAAGAGTGAAGATTTTCGTCTCTCATCAAGAATCAACTTCAGGTAAACGACAGTGACTCGGTGAATTTTGGTAGGTCTTTGTTTGGTGAATTTTACTTCGATTGGATTATCACATTTTTTTACGGAATTGAGTCTTTCAAGCAATACCTGAAGCCACGAATCCCAACTTCTATATAGATGCTAGAACCTCAGATATCGATGTGATACGACTGAGTGTGGGACTCTTTAACAAAGGCTTTTCTGGTTTTGAATGATTCTCAACACATACTCTTGAAATTGCGTATAGACAGATTATAAATCGAAGCGATGACCTCCCTAAAACTCTGATCCAGCAATTCTTCGCCTCTCCATCATCATATCCCCACTGTCATCAAAGCCGATCATAAAGCACAAAGTGTGTCTTTATTTTTCTCTCAAATCTCTTCTCAAGATGAAAGATTCACAAAGAAAGGCTAATCGTAAGCAATGAAGGTGTGGATTATGCGCTCAGACACAAGGTGAAGTGTCGATCGGATTAAGAGCTATCTCCATTCCGCTACGAGACCAATCCTAAGTACCTCGAGAACTCGAGAACATCAGGGAAAACATAAAAATAAACGTTAGCACCAGCACTGGTGGATTTTGAAGAAATCAAATAGGCAAAGCGAGTCTAGCGAATTGAGCCACAGTGTTGAATGTCGAGACCGAAAAAGACATCTAACCTAATTACTTGAATATCACAACTGCGAAGTTATCTTCCCATCATCTTTTCCTGAGAACAAAACGAGGCAGTCAAGTAAATGGGAGAGGAGACGACTTATGGACTGGAAGCAATTGAAGAGAATCTCAATGACCTTCAGAACACAAGGATACACCCGGTCCCAACGACGTTTTGCCGCATTGGGAAAAGTCACCAGCTACCGCACGGCTAACAACGACAAGCAATAGGAACGTGTAGATGGCAAAACTTGTTAGCCAGAATATTTCCATATCTATTTCCATAGACTTCATGTTTCCTTCCGTAATCCAGTTTTCATTCAAGGTTTTGATTTTTTACACATTCATTTGAAACTGCAGTGTACCATGCATAAAAGCAAACAAGGTTATTAGTTGTTCAGCCTTGATTACCCCATGGATGCACAGTATACGGCCATACAAAGGTGCCAAAGTCATATTGCCATCTTGCACTGCCACCGACAGAGTTCATATGAGTGCATACATTACGGGTCAATAGATTTTTACACTCGACGATTTAGGCTCAATATTGGGTGTAAATTCCATTGAGTGTAAAAATCAATGTGTAGGGGGGTCAGATGCAATTTTACACTCAATCTGACTGATTTTCTGAAGTGTAAAAAATCATGTGTAAATCATTGAGTGTAAAAATGTAAAGAAACATGACCAAGTTAGACTTTTGCCCTCTATTTTTTACATACAATATTGAGGGCAAAAAAATTTGGGTGCAAAATTAAATTTTGACAGGCATTTCTCCACTTTTGCACTCTTAGCATTTACACTCAATAAGAAGTGCAAATTATCAGAGTGCAAAATTCCAAAGGGCTACCTCACAATTACAATTTTACACCTTACTTTTTGAGTGCAAAAAACTCTTGACTTGGGGAAAAAATCACTAAGTGACCCAGCCCTTCCCACATCACATACTTTCTCACCAAGACACCTTCTTGCTGCATAATCAAGACACATGGCAAAATGAGTTCCACCACTTAATCAGCCATTATGTATCTCATTGAGGCCACCATAAAAATCTCAACACACAAATAACAAGAGAGTGAATAAAAACTTGATGACTCCTGTGCTTACCTTTGCAATCCTAGCCATCCTTTGAAAAAATAGAAATGGAAAGATGTGTATCATGACAAGATTTTTTGCTATTCATTTTTCCTCCCCTTTGGCTTAGCCTTGTCCTTCTTCACAGCCTCTTGCACCACTTCTGGTCAAATGAGTTCATCATCTGTCACTATAGTACGTTTCTTGGCTGTGCAGTCAGGAGACAGAGACTTGACTGTGCTAGCTTCTGCTGGCTGCTTGTTACAAAAATGTAGGATCAGGCACTCCCATGCGGGTTTAGATGGCTTTGGATCTTTGACACCATCAGTCATCAAGTATACGTGCCATTGCATAAGTCACTTGGTGCAAAGGTTTGGTACAATCAAAAGTTGGGAGAGGACCTGAGCGAGAAGACAAATGAGGGTACGTTTGGTTGTGATTACAAATTGTGAACTCTGTTTGACCCCAGGTACATTGCCCTGGGGCAAATGAGTTTATTGTTCAAATCGAGTTCTTTTTAAACAAACTCCGTTATGGGTACATTTGAGAAAATCATGTTTGGTTGGAAATCCCAACCAGACACAGCTTGTAAACTTCCCTTGAAGGTTCTTCACCTCCTCTCACCTCACCTCACTTCACATTCTACCACCTCCCATCCATCTGTATCATTGTCCCCATCCAACAAACTTTTCATCAAAGTCCATGTTGAACAATTGATTGAAATGGAACGGGCGAAATTGAATGATTGACTGGGATTGAACCATTGATCAAAACTCAACAACCAATCCATAATCAACACCCACCTCCACTTTTGTATCTCATCTTTTGAGGGTGATTTGTTTTTGTATCCTTTGAGAGCTTTTGAGGTTCAACAATTGATCAAGAGTGAATGATTGATTGTTGACTGGACATCAAACAATTGATAGCTTGTCTCTGCAATCAAACTTGGTTTTCAAGCTTCTTTCTACAGGAATCAGAATTAAATTCAGTTCTAGATTCATATTGGAGAAACACAAGATAGATTTGAGGTGATGATTGGAGAGACAGAAGCAGAAGGAAAGGCAGCTAGGAGATAGAAATACAAGTGAAGATTGGCTGGTGATTAGTGTTGAGTATGATGGTTTAGTGTTGAAGGTGTTGATCTTGATTGAGTCAAATAAATAGCATTCGAAATGGGGGTTGAAGCTGATTGAAGTCCTTCAAGACAAAATTTTGTTGAGTCCAAAAAGGAGTTTATCACGTGTTTAAACTCCCTTTTGGCGTTTATCCAAAGGGCCCTTTTAAACTCCTTTTGGTACGGGGAAGGAGTTTATTTCTGGGTACCATAAATGGTCCCAAACGTATTTTTTTAACAGCGATTATTTTGCAAAAGGCCATTGCTATTTGCAGCCCACAAGAAAACCATGTAGGCGCTGTTTTGGCAGCACCTACATGGGTGTTTCCCACGAAAAAGCGCCTACATTTAGGATGTAGGCGCTGAAAACCATCTAAAATGACGCCTACATGATAAACATGTAGGCGTCATTTGGTTACGCCTACATTCAAAATTTCAGAATGTAGGCTTAATTTTCAAGCACCTACATATCTAATTTGAAATGTAGGCGCTATTTTTGAGCGCCTACATTCAATTTTCAGGTCAAATAAGCGCCTACATGCAGTCTTGCATATGTAGGCGCTCCAAATCCAACACCTACAACTCCAGACTGGTCTGACGGCTAATGAAGAAGAAGTTTCAAGTTAAAATGAGAGTATTGGAAGACAGAAAAAGCAGTTCGGAGTTGAAATGAGTGTATCGGAAGATGGAAAAAGCAGCTTGGAGTTGAAATGAGTGTTTTGGAAGACGGAAAAAGCAGTTAAGCATATTGGAAGATGAATATGCTCTTTTCAAATCTGAAGTGAGTGTATCAGAAGACGTAAATAGCAGTTCAGAGTTGAAATAATCTACTTCTTTTTCCGCTTCTGATAAACTCATTTTGACTCCAAACTGAGTTCAGAGTTGAAATAATTTACTACTTTTTCTGTCTTCTGATACACTCATTTTGACTCCGGACTTACTTTTTCGTCTTCCAATACACTGATTTCGAATCCAAACTGCTTTATCTGTCTTCCGATACACTCATTTTGAGTCCAAACTGCTTTTTCCGTCTTCCAATACTCTCATTTTGACTTGAAAGTTGTTCTTCATTACCCTTCAGACCAGTCTGGAGTTGTAGTTGCCGGATTTGTAGCGCCTACATATGCAGGACTGCATGTAGGCGCTTATTTGAGCTGAAAATTGAATGTATGCGCTCATTTTGAAAAATGTAGGCATAAATTTTGAGCGCCTACATTGGATTTCCCATGTAGGCGCTCGAAAATAGCGCCTACATTTCATTTTTTGAATGTAGGCGTAACCAAATGACGCCTACATGGGTTTCTTAACATGTAGGCGGCATTTTGGATGGTTTCCAGTGCCTACATCATAAATGTAGGCGCTTCTTTGTGGGAAACACCCATGTAGGCGTAATTTGGCCAGCGCCTACATGGTTTTCTTGTGGGCTGCAAATAGCAACGGCCTTTGCAAAATAATTGATATTATTCAAGATAATCAACAAAAATAATTGCAACCAAACATACCCTAAAGTGTTGAGATAGATGACACAAACTAGAAGCAAAGAATCTGACTTAGTATCATCAGTTTGGCCAAATGCGCGTTGGGCAATACCGCAAGAGCACCGCACTATGTTGCAGTTGCGGTGCGGTTGCGTAGCGCTTTTGGGCGCCGGAATAGCAACGCAATATAGTGCGGTGCCAGCGCTCGGCAATCCGGGTTCAAAAAACCCCTTGGTCAGAAACCCGCACCGCAATTGCGGTCGGTTTTTGACGGTTATTTAGGGCAAATATTGCGGAAATAGGACAATATTGCACATTTTCCGCAATATTTGCTCGACCGCTCTGCAACGGCAAGTTAGAAAAAAAAACCCATTGCGGAGTGGTTGCGTAGCGTAATAATGCGCCGGCTGCGCAACGCAATGGAAATAGGTCAAAATCCATTGTGTTGCGTAGCACTTGCGGTGTTGCGTTGGGCTTTATCACTCTGTGATAATTGTGATCGAGTAACATCTTCAAAATCCGCAATATCATTACCATTGTTGTTGTGCACTGAACAACCCGGTCAACATACCAGGGAGGAGAGATGCGACTGGCTTGTCCAAATTGAGGCGGATCAGGGGAATCCAAGGAATCCTCCCTCTACTGGCTCTTGAAGTTCAAGTTTTTTCTCCAATTGGCCCTGTATTTGTGTTTACAGTCAAACCCGCGCACATGCATACCCGCGCACATGCATAACCAGCCAAAATGCATAAGTTTTGGTTTCCACCCAGCTGGTGCGGGCCAATTTTGTCATTAATTGCATAATTATGTCAAAAACCATAATGCATACTTCTTTTCAAGTCCCCAAAGTCATAATGCATGCCTACAAAGCGCCCCAGGATGTGTTTTTTTTCCATTGAACTCTGATCAAATCCTTTGCAAGTAGGATTTTGGCAACATCAGGCAGCAATGCGCCCTCTATGGGGTCAAACCGACCCCTAGTGGTGTTTTTTTCGGTGTCAAAAAAATATCTTGTCCTTGTACCCGCGCAAAATACAAACGTACTATTGCATAAACTTATACAATTTCAACAAAAACCCGTCATAATGCATATTTCAATGCATTTAGGCCAATATGCATACAAATATGCATTATGGGGGTTTATGCCTATTTGCATAACCCGCAATAATGCATAGCAAAAATTGTCTCCCCAATTTATGCATTAGCGCGGGTTTGACTGTATAATTGCCTTTTGATTTTCAAAAACACAACAAAACCCTTGAAAACACTGGAAAATCTTGAAGTTTCAGAAGAAACTGAGAGAGAATCCCCTGGTATCCTCAGTTTTTTATTTGGTGAATGGAAGCTTCTCAAGGAGGCAAACAACCAATTTCTTTACCTGAAGAAAATCCTTAGACACATAAAAATGTGTTATAAGACGGACAAATTTTTGCTGCAAAAAGGAATCCCCCTCACAAGCAAAAGCGTATGAGTTTGTCATAAGTCCCTTGCTGCGCTCAAAGGGTGTGAGACACAGCATGGGACTTTGTTGAGTTTAAGTTTGTTCGTGTGTGTAAATTTGAACTTTGGGTGTGGTCCTTTGCAAAATTACACTGCAGGTATTGCAAAGTTGTCTTGGTGAGAAAGTATGTGATGTGGGAAGGGCTGGGTCACTTAGCAATTTTTTCCCCAAGTCAAGAGTTTTTTGCACTCAAAAGCAAGGTGTAAAATTGTAATTGTGAGGTAGCCCTTTGGAATTTTGCACTCTGATGATTTTCACTCCTTATTGAGTGTAAATGCCAAGAGTGCAAAAGTGGAGAAATGCCTGTCAAAATTTAATTTTGCACCCAACTTTTTTTGCCCTCAATATTGTATGTAAAAAATAGAGGGCAAAAGTGTAACTTGGTCATGTTTCTTTACATTTTTACACTCAATGATTTACACATGATTTTTTACACTTCAGAAAATCAGTCAGATTGAGTGTAAAATTGCATCTGACCCCCCTACACATTGATTTTTACACTCAATGGAATTTACACCCAATATTGAGTGTAAATTATTGAGTGTAAAAATCTCTTAACCCATACATTACAAGGCAGCCAGCCATATGAGGAAGAACACAAAGTGGAAAAAAGGTCACACCAAGGTCTTGAATTTCGAGAGCCTTGGCATACATATACAAATCGCTTCGACCTCTTTCTTTACGTAGATCGAGGTGTGATATGTACCAACGCTCCAGCCGGCCAGCCGGGGATGAGGGTATATAGAAAGTCGAAAGAGTGAACGATACCCGCGCCAGGAAACACTTTGGAATCACCCACCGGCTGAACACTCTGCCCACACAAGCCGATGTTTCGTCCGACGCTAGGATCATCGCATGATTGGCGCATGGTTCAAAGGCTGGCAAGAGGCTTGCATGACTTCCGCTCGGAGTTTCATGAATTACATATAGCACTGGTGATACACATCAGGGTTCGTTACGGTTCACCTCCGTCTCATCACCGAATCAACTCGAATCAACACCTCTCAATTCGTTTAGACCCTATGTGTATGAATACGTGCCGCTTCATCTCACCTTTCTCACCTAGTGGCACTGCTCATTCGGGCTGTGGCCTTTTTCTGTGGTATTCCTAAGCTTGGTGGAGGTGGGGGCTCAAGTCGACGCTCGCATACATGTACATCTCGAATTCTCTGACCTCTTGGCAGCTTGACCCATTTTTCTTTTTAATCCTTGGTCTTGCTCCTCATCCCCCGGACTCCATCAGCCTCTCAATCTGATCCCTCTATAAATATATCTATATATATCGTGTATCTTCTGGAATTACGTGGTGAAAACATCTATCTACCTCTTTGAATCAAATCTTACTTCCTACGAAGCTTGTCAGTAACTTTTGTTGTCTCTACCTTGCTTGAGAGGTTATCTGATAGTTTGCTCACTTATAACCACCAGATACCATCCATCCTTTACACCTGATCACATAGAGATATCCTCTTCACTTCGACGATATCATAAGATGGTCAGGACTCTTTTTTAATATTTCTAACTACGTGCCATCAGCTACTGACTCGATTCACCACCACTACCCACAAAAAATCAATTAGACTTCTTTTTTCAAGGTTGCAGCGGTCATAATCACGTTGTTTGGATTGATCTATTCCGAGACCACCCCGAAAGTTCAATACCAAAGTCAATGCTGCCCTAGCGATGGTACGGCATGCTACCCTTCGCCAAGCTTTTGCTCGGACAGAGGCCACTGCAGGCCCAATATAGCAGATTATTTATGCGATGCTTCCGGTGGATCGTGTCAGCCAAGCGGGGGTCACGCCCGGGCACCAAAATATTTCCAATGTGGTTACCAAAGGTGTTATGGAGAATTTAAATGTGTGACTATCGTCTCCAGCGGAAAGACTCAATCTCTTGATGAAGAGGGCTCTTCACAACAATCTATTCCTTCGAGAATCGCGAAGGGACAAGAATCGTGAAAAATCTCTCAGTTTCTTTCTTTTCTTGTGCGTCTCTGCGTCTTGGCTTTTCTTGTGCTCGTGTCTCGACTGTATTTCCAAACTTTTATACTCATACTGTGGTATCACAACTTGGATGATTGTTATGTCATGTTTGTGCCTGTTTCTTATCTTGGTCCCTCAACATATTGAATGTCTCATCCATTCAGCCTTTGCCAGAGTCTCTCACAGCCACATCTGGCAGCCTTTCAAACATGAAGCTCTTTGTGTCTATGCGTGGCAGAGACAAAAGTTGCGTCCTGTGCAGTGTGTACATTGGCCAACAAATGACTGCAAATTTTGAAGAATTGGCCTAGGGTCTCTCAACAGACTACTTTGCGCTCAAACATTGTATCCCTAAGAAGCAACAATGAGGGACTCTGGTCAACAAGATGAACAATTTACTTGAATAACTTAAAATTAGAATTGGCACGCAAGGCTGAGCTCATACTCCAGGATCAAACTTAACCATTCAAGAGAAGAAAACATGTAGACCCAAAAGGGGCTTTGTACATGAAATCTTGTGTTTTCTGGTAAGAGGTTCAATGACACTTTGGTGGTAGAAACTCATTCCCCTTTAGCTTTTGGTTCTTTGATCGTAACATCTCCATTCCTTAGACCTTGTTATACTTCTACTTCTTATAAGTTGTAATCTACTTTTCAAATGACTAATTGTAAACAAGTGAAAAAAAATTATAAGAGCTCAAATGGAGCTCCTTTGACATTTCAATCAATAGACTACAGTCAACACTGACAGTACAGGTGTTGTACTGGTCGTAGTTGACTTTTTGAATGAAACTGGAAAGGGATTATTTTTAGCTCTGTTGAAGATATTTAGTTTGATCACCAGCAACCAATCTTAGAAGTGGATTACAATTTCAAGCTATAAAATAGTTGAAGGAGTCAAAAAGCTATCATCAAGGGAGAAAAAAACTTGAAAGAAAAGTAGTTGGCAAATGGACATTGAACCCCTCACCAAGAAACTCAACATTCCATACAATTCCCCACTGAGCCTACATGTTTTCTTGATTTTTGGTAGGCATCCAAAGGGACTTAGTGAAGTTAACTCCAGGGTACCCTCTGTCAAGGGACTTTTTCTCATCTGAGAAAGGCTTAGCATCTTTGAGGAGCACAGAAATCTTCTGGCTGAGCCCAAGCTTCCCAAACCAGGGGAAGGTTGGAATTCCATGGCCAGCACTTCACAAAACCTCAAAAACCATTTAGCCTCTTTTGACTCTGAATCTATTAGTGTCAAAAGCATCAGAGACATAAAATCTACAAACATCACATTTGACAACAGTGATGATTCTGAGATGAATTCATCATCCACACTAGAATGTCACTCAAAGTACATTTACAAGGACAAGTCAACCTAGGCCCATTTCTTCAGTTTGAAGCAACTGCTTGGTTTATTGATGCTTGGCTCAGAAAATTCTTTGTGCCAATTTCAAAGAGTCTGATCCTTCACTGGTCTTTTAGGCATCAAGCTCCCTGGATATAGATATCTGTGTTCCCTTTGCAAAAACATACAGAGACGCTACTTTGATTGTTTCCAAAAGTGTGAGCCCACTGGATAAACCTTCATTTGGACTTGAGGCTTGACCACTCCATGTCCAAACTTAGTCAAGTCCCTCGCTGGAAATTGAGCAAAACCACTATGTAATCTGTCGTGGTAATGTCTGTCAAGGACTCCAGGAGTCAGTTGTCAAGAAGGAACTCACCAATATGGTTAGATTAAAATGTAAGAAGTCACGAGTTGGGATGAAGTTCAGGAGGTATGATGTGATGAAGTGTGTAAGGTGTATGTAATGATTGGAAATGGTTTCTATTTTGTCTCTTTCGGGAATAAGTCAAATGTGACTTGAGTTTTTCTTTTTCATCTTTTATTTGCAATAGGGTCCGCATATCCGTGTCTCTTTACTACTTATAGTCAGTATGATGGCCACTCAGATTCTTTTCCTCATCGAAAAGAATCTGTAAGTGGTTTCATCTTTAATGTACAATCCTCATCAAACATCTAACTTGGTTATGCTTTACGCTTCAGCTTTTTATTATACTTCTAACTTTTCGTACTCGAAACTTCGTTTCTTTTTCCTGTTGCTCTTGCACAGGTTTGTGTCTGCTTTTTATCTTTTTCAGTCTGTTTCTATTTTTCACTAATCTTTATGTTGTGTTAGGTTCGTTCTAGTAGCTCTCTGAAGCTGAGGCCTGTTTGCCGTCGTACTTACATATTTACCTGATTTACCAGGTATGCAATATCATCGAAAAGAATCTCTTTTTATTATACTTCTAACTTTTCGTACTCAAAACTTCGTTTCTTTTTCCTGTTGCTCTTGCACAGGTTCGTTCTAGTAGCTCTCTGAAGCTGAGGCCTGTTTGCCGTCGTACTTACATATTTACCTGATTTACCAGGTTCGTTCTAGTTCGGCAAAGCCACGTATTTCGAATCCTTCGAACTAGAACTTCACATAATCAGCATGTCAAGACTCGAGTACTCACTCCAAAATCAACGATGGCATGATAAGTCCTTCACTCGAGGCCTCGTGAGGTGAGGGTGTGGGAGTTTGTTAAGTTTGACTATTTGACGCTGATCCACTTGGTGCATAATTCAAAGGCCGGTAAAAGGCTCTTGTAAGGGCTTGCATGACTGCCACTCGCGGCTTCATGAACCACACATATCATATAAATATTACAGAATTTGTCCACCTTCGCTCTGACTGGTTCAACACCTCTCAATCGGTTTATATGGGACTTACAGAACGGTTTGTGACCCTATACCATACTTGGCGCCTCAATCCACCTTCTCCACCTGTGGTCATCAAAGCCGCGCCGGTAGAAGTCGTGTGGCCTTTTTCTGTGGTATTCTTGAGCCAGGTGGGCTCGGAGGTTGAGGCACAAGTGGACGCGGTCGCGACTCGACTTTTCATCCCTTGAGCTTTGTCTTCATCTTGCTGCCTTCCCCAGTGGCTCAATCTGATTCATATTCATCCATATATACGTATATCTCCCGCAATATCTCACATTCACTCTGTCGTGAACGCATCCATCTACCTTACCGTTTGGATCATAGGTCACTTCTCACAAAGCGTGTCAGTGATTTTTGTTGCTTCTACCTTCCTTCAGGTGTTTTCTGATAGTTTGATATCGCTGCCACTCATTGAAACACCACAGATCATCAAGTTCCTACGCCTAATCATATAGATACATCTTCTTCACATCGACTGGTATCGTAAAATGGTCAGGACTCTTTCTTGAAATTTCCAACTAAGTGCTATCAGAAACGTACTGACTCAATTCACCACCACTACACCCAAACAACGAGTTAGGCTTTTTCTATCAAGATTGCAGCTGCCATAATCACTTTGTTGGCGTTGGTATATTGCGATAACACACCTCAACCTCACTACCAATGTCAATGTTGTCCTAGCGATGGTACAGCATGTTACTCCCAGCCTAGTTTTTGCTCAGGCTACCATAACTGCACAACCAACATAGCGGATTATTTATGCGATGCTTCCGGTGGATCGTGTCATCCAAGCCATAACAATACTCGGGCAGAAAGATATTTTCAATGCGGTTATCAACCATGTTATGGTGAATTTAAATGTGTGACTATTTTCTTTAGTGGCAAAACTCAATCAGGAAGCTCGTCAACTTTGATCCCGTCGAGTGTTGAAAAGGGACAAGAAGCGTAGCAACATCCCTCACTTTATTTGACTTTTGTATGCGTGTGTGCGTGGCTCTTTATCTATTTCTCTGGGCGCGCGTTTCTACTGTATTTCAAAGTCTCATACACTCATACATTATGGTATAGCGCAATTTGGAAGATTGATTTGTCGTGTTCTGTTTGTGCTTGTCTTTTATCCTGGGTCATAAATGTCTTGTATGGCTCTTATACCTTTGAGCCCACTCGAATGACACGTCACTCACAGCCACCCATGGTAGCCTTTCAAAGCAAGAATCCTACTTTGTTTCCCAAGCCGTATAAGTTCCAAGGGTAGAGCTTGAATAAATCCCGGGCGTAGTCTCCACAAATCTTAACAAACCAGTGAAATTTTAAAAGTTCTTGTCCAGCGCTCTATAAAACATCAGTCTGCAGCCCAGCAGGAGTTGCATGGCAGCTTCAGCGTAAAATATACAGATAGGGCTCTTTGACAGCCATTTGTAATCTCAACTATCAAAGGTCTTGCTTGAAAAAGTCAAAGATTTGTAAAGTAAGAAAAGCACAGTCAAGATTAGTCAGTTATGGCTACCATCAAGACTTATCACAAAGTGCCACCCACCATTCAAGCAACTAGAAAAAGAATTGGCTGGTACCCAGTGTGTCAGCAAGCATTCCTCTAATGAGGAAAAAGATCCAATATATCAAATAATATAGAAAATTGACCATTGATAAAAGCAAATATGTATGTGTGCTGCAACTCCCAGCCCAATTGATGCCACCTTGAAGCTACTTGGATGAATAAAAGTAAACGCAAAGTGTACTATAGTATTCCCCACACAAGAAAACAGATTTGAGCTTTGAACAGCCCCCAACACTGAGATTGTCTAAAGAAATTATTAAACTCTCAGCAGAATATTGTGCATACCCACTCAATATTTGCACCCCCAAATGGCCAATTGTGAGCACTGTTGCACCAAACCCATCAACTTCTGCTCATTTCAAGGCTGCAAGTGTAGGATGTGTGTTGAAGCCATCACCCAGTCTTGGTATAGTGGAATCTAAAGAACACTGTGTTTCTTTACTTCAGCTAATCCTTCAAACATTAGATGATTAATATTCTTCTCCATTTTTGACAAGGAAGTATTTGTGCCCTTACAACCAATAACATTATGTGATTTGCAGGTGAGGGGGAATACAAGGGAAAGTAGCTCATCTTGATCATTGGTTCCCTATCTAGTCCAGTTTTCCCTTTTAACATTTTGTGGACACAATCTGAGTTATCCTTCTATCATTTCATCTAAACAAAATAATCAACAAGTCTCTACCATGAACTTATGGGCTTACGACATTAAATCAACATTATTCAGCATTAACTATGCATTATTTGGCATCAAATTTGCATTTTGTGTTAAATAAGCATTTTGAACTATTCAATTCAATAAAGGTAATCATTTTTCCCCTGAGAAAATTGCTTTATGCTGGTAAATTATATCTTCCTCGTTCCTGCATCCAGGTCCATCACAAGTTTAGAGCTTGTCATTTCTGTTGTCAGCTAGTTGTCTCATAAACAACAGGTTGTACTTGTCTTTGTAGCTTTTGTAAAGTTATTATTTTCCATCACAGAGCAGTAGAGTGTCAAGTCTTGGGTGTAGTTCATTTTCCTACATTAACTCTAAAGTTGTTTCTCAGCATTATCACATATATTTGAAACCAGTTTCTAGTGCTGAAGTTTTATGCAAGAAAGGTGAAGTAGTGAGATCAGACTATCTGGTGGTTAAGATTTTAGGTAGGAAGAAAGGGCTGAACATTAGACACAAGATGGGTGTATTTAAAATGACACCACTTTGATTGAAGTAGAACTGATTTTGATGAGCAGTGATTCACATACTTGTTGCAACAGTGCAAAACAAAAAGCATAATCTGATTGGAGTAAAAACAGACCAAAAGCATAAAATTGCTGCTTCCCACCAAAGGTACGACATGTTAAGTCACTTCTACCAGTAGCGAGAAGGGTAAGGTAAGACTGGGTGCACATGTAAGTTACATACACGACAAGGTTGGGTGGGCTAAAGATACAGAGAGACGAAAGAAATTTTCCTCATCTCTACTATCCTTTTCCCTGCACCTCAGTCGTAGAAATAGAGAATCAAGCTCTTCAAGTTGATAAACATAAGTATTTCAAATTTAACGCCCACCCACCATCCCTAGGCTAGGACAACACTCTCCGGTACCCATTCTCATGCACTTTACACAGTTTAGAGCCCGGAATAGACCGTGGGTCAGAACCCGTAGGGCCTCTGACGTAGGCCCCGAGGTGATCCCGGTACGATTCCACACTTGAGACCCCCCCCAACCTATTCTCAACTTAGGAATCCTAGGTTAGGATAGCATAAGGCTGAGAAAGGATATGTATAGTTACCACATGTAAACTAGATATATCCGAAATAAAGAGCTTGTTCCAACCTAGCACCTCTTGTGCATGTGAAACTTGGACCCGACCCGAGGATACTATTACATGTATCCTCGCAGCGGATCCGAAGGAACGCGGGCAGATGCATCCTAAGATGCTAGGATGCATCTTTTGTGACCTCGCGAGGCTCTAAGTCAAACACATGCAAAGTATTTCACCATCTTTCACACTTCCTCACCCATCTTACCAGCGGTTTTCACATCGTTTCACACTCAAACCCGCCTTCAACCAGTTTTTGAACAAGATAGCCTTCACACTTATTCACACATCTATCTTCACACATATTCACCCATCTACACAGTTTTCACATCTCATCACCAAACACTCCGAACTTCACAATACTCCCTCAAGTTACCCTTCACCACCTTTCACACCTGTAATACACATACCCCAACCAAACAAGACCTTTTGTCACCTTCACCGATCCTCACACCCCGATCCATCCTGCAGCGACCTTCACGCCTCTACTGACTCCTCATCTTCACTCGTCCTTCACTCGTTCCTCATTAATCATGACCACCAACACAAACACCAGCTCAGCCAACAACAACAACACCACATACCCTCATCCTATACCCCCTCCTCCAATCGATCTCACATTTCCTAGTCTTGCTGCAGGAGCCACCTATCTCCATGGGTTTGCCGCAGATCATGGCTTTGAAATCAGAACTCTTGACGCCAGACTACCCACATCGATCCAGTACAAGTGTAGTCTAGGCGATCATAGACACCCAACAAAGGCAAAGACTCAAGCAAAGACTCAAGCCCAGGAAACTCAATCAACGTCAAGTGCTCGCCCCCTCAGGACATGTCCTTTTAAGATAATCTGTCGTCGCAATAGAAAGGATCATAACTTGTTTTATCTCATCTTTCAAGATGAGAAACATCGTCATCACAATCATCACCCACGAGAAGGACCACCCAAGAAAATCCCATTTATAACATCACTGCCTCAACCTCAAACCACCACCTTGACTTCGCTTCCTGCTCCCTCTGTTCCACTTCTCACCTTAACATTGGCTCTCCCCGACCCGTTGTCTGCAGGACTCTTGACCGACCAATACCGATTGTTACTGCAAGAGATGCAATCTCTTCCCACCGCTAACCAAACATACCTACTCAGCTCATTTTTACACGATGTCGAGTTTGCCAAAGCCATTGCTAGCTCATCACTTGTACCTATTCAACCTCGAAGTACCCCCTATCCAGCTCTCCTATCTACTTCTGCTGAAGAGGGAGCTGAAGACAAAGCCGCCCTCTCCAAAGGTAAAAATTCAATGACCAATATACCTAGAGCTCCCACTGTATCATCGCTGGCCGCCTCAAGTTCGATCCCAAACCTACAAATTAGTCCCTTGGATCTTCAAGATGTCATTGATTTTACCATCCAATCGATCAATTCACCATCACCAGATAGTTCAACTAGAATCAATAAGGAATCTCTTATTGTGTCACCATCGACTTTGCCTAAAAAGGCTACCAGTCCTGTTCAAAACTTGGAAGCTGCAGAAGATAACATCAGTACTCACTCACCTGCCCATCAAGACAGTGAGGAACGTCTTTGCCCAATACCACCCGAAGATATCGTCATTTCCAACCTCGATTCAGCTGCATCAAATGCTGAGAATCATCCAACCGAGAATTGTGAGTCATCTTCCTTTTGTTCCTTGGATCTCTTGTTTGTTCAACTCTAACTAAAAATCTCTGATTCCTGCAGGTTCTTCACCTTTACCCGAGTTCAACCTCGATAATCCCATGGAAGAACCTGAAGTTGAAGCTGAGCCTTTGAAAAACGAAGATCCGGCGGTTTCAGGAGGAAATTGTCCATCGATTTCTCAGAATCATCCAACCGAGAATTGTGAGTCATGAATTTTTTCTTGACTCTCTTGTTCGTTCCACTCTAACAAACAATCTGACCCTCGCAGGTTCTTCACCTTTACCCGATTTCAACCTCGAGATCGCCATGGAAACACCTGAAGTCAAAGCTGACCCTTTGAACACTGAAGATGAGAAGGTTTCAGGAGAAAATTGTGTGTTGAGAGCTGCAGAGGATGTGTTACCCACCAACCTCGAACAGCCTGTCAATGATATCGAGCTGCATTCAGCACTTCCACTTTCTGAACAAAGTATGGCTCCAAAATCTCGATCTTGCAAACGCAAGATCTCCAAGGCCAAAGATAAACCGGCACCAAGTCTTTGTACACGGAAAGCCAAAACAAAAGAAATCGGTCAAAACATTCGCAAAGGCAAACCCACATCTATCCCTGATTTGCCAAAATTGCCAAAGGGTTATGGTTACATCAAAGTATCCAAGGAGGTAGAAAGTGTAGAACAACAAAATGACTCAGTTCCTACCGAGGAGAAAGCCCAGGCTGTTTGACGAGGCCAAAAGCGCAAAGATCGTGGTCCCATTCCTCCCCCGAAAGTCTCTACGCGTTGCCAAGTAGCAGCTGCTGTCAAAGAAGAAGTAGGTCTCTCTCCAAATCATCCCATACAAAAAAAACGCTGATGTAACTCTCAATTTTTAGCTAAGAGCAGAATCGGAAACACCAAGTGAGACAGCAGCCAAACTCGAAGTTCCCTTGGCAGCAAGTGCCAAAACGCCAAGTCCAAGTGCAGAAACAACAGCAGCCAAAGCCAATGTTTCCTTGACACGTGCCGTCAATTCCACTCAGCAGCCGACATCCGAAGGTCAGCCCTTAAAGCCTCAGAGGCTCTTGGAAAAAAAGAAAGTCAGTACCTGCCATGCGAGCTCAAAAACAAAGTGTTGCATTTCTGATCTGTATCAATTTTGATCTACAGTGTCAAAAACCTTTTACTCCAGAAGAAATGGAAGAACACCTTCAGATCGAGTGTGTCGTTTTGAAGGTATGTATAATTTGGTTATAAATGTACTAGCCCGATCAGCGGCGGGCGCCGCATCATTGAATGTTTGGGAGGGAATTCATGCAATCAGATTGGTTCTCAAATGGATATGTGAAGGGATAAAATTTCAGTCAAAAAGAGAGCTTTGAATGGTTCCATTGACCAATTCCAATGAGCCCCACCAACATAGATGCCTTGGATTTTTCAATCCAAGGCATCATTGGATATAACATCTTGGACAGATCTTGTCCAAGGTATCTTTTGGCGCAAAAAGATACTTCCGATCAAAACCTCGGAAAGATTTTGTCCGAGGTTTTTGATCTGATTATACCTCGGATTTTTTAATCCAAGGCATCTATGTTGGCTGTGTAGTCACATGTCACTGTGTACATTGCTTCTTGATTTTTTCAAACGTCTCCTATGTTACAATTATTGATCATAATCAAACCTACATGTATTCCTTTGACTGAGACAAAAAATATTTCTATAGCATAACAACAGGTTTTCATTTGTTTTGAAACAGGGTGTACATCCTTTTCTTTTTCTGACTGCTGCTGCACTTTGGACTTCATCAAGTTACTTAACTTTCTCTTGCACACTCTGAGAAACAAAGGCAAATGCTTTCAGCAAAGATTGACAAAGGCTAAATTGGTATTCTATTCTAAATATTTTGGATAAGATTGTGAACAACTGGACCTGTAGGCTAGGCCACTCTCAATCTCTTTGATGAATGACATCATCATGTTTTTGTAGTGGTGACCTTACTCAATCCTGGTTTCTGTCAATTCTCTCATTTCTGATACAATCTTTTCACTCTGTTATTGTCAACTTATGTTCATGATTTCTCTTGTATTGAAATTCCCTTCTTGGCTAGCATCTTTGGTCAGCAAGCTGGAATATTCCTCTTGCTTTTCTATCAATCACTTTGACTTTCTTCGAATTGGACTCATTGGAGAATTATGAATTATTTGACTGCATGTGTCCAAAATTCAAGGAGGATGAGACAAATTCCATTTCAAAAATCATCATAGGAAAGCTATGGTTCCAAGCTTTGACTGACCAGGATCTTTTCAGAAGAGTTGTGTTTGTAACTTGCATTTCATATTTTGTCTACATCAACCAAGAAAGAAACAAATGGTTCAAAAAGGTGATCTCTCAAACAAACTCTTTGAAGCTTGTTTTTTATGAAAACTCTTTTGCTGGGATTGGTGTAGTGTAGCAATCAGGTCCTACCAAGACTTTGATTTGATGAATGTGATATTGATATGAAAGTGGCTTTGATTTATCATTTGCCAAGAGGTGAGTATGATGGATCACTGATATGAGTCATGGTAATCCTATTGAGAGCTTTAGTCTATTGTTGATAGTTTAAGGTTGCAATTGAGTGTTCTCGACTTAATCAGCAGAAAGGTTTACTCACTTACACCATGTGAATATCCTTGTAGCATGTCAATGTGCGCACACAGAAGACTTTCCTTGGACCCCGTAAAGACCCATCAAAGAGGTGCTACAACAGTGGCATCTTCCCCTTATCAACTGGGACGTTGAAAGTCAGTTGACCCCAGCTTATGACAAAGGATCTTGCAAATCCTATGAATAAACCACTATTCACAAAGGGCGCTCAACAACAATCTCAGTGTAAATCTGACCAAGAGACTTTGAGATTTGTTTCCAAACTCTCCATGTGTGCACATTGACACACTACACAAATATTGACACAGTGTTAGTGACTTGAATGAGATGGTAAGGGATTGAATTGAGTTGATTCAACCAAAACTTGATTCTCCCAAAATTTTAGTGAAGAAAGATGCTAAACATTAGTTTCAATTTTTTTCCAGGAAACAAAGGTTGAATAATTGAAATATCTATTCAGTCGAGTTTGATTTTTTCTAAATGAATAGACATCTGTTTTGCACTTGGTTGACGTTTGAACTTTCATGTGATAAAACATTGATGCTAAGTTTACTTCCAAGCCTTGTGAATATTTTATCAAGCCTTGGATGATTTGATACTTTGTCTTTGATCTGAGGACAGGTTCTATGATCTTTAATGTTCAAAAATGATCACTTATAGAAAGACTACTTCTCTTGGAATTTTTACAATGAATTGAACCTTAATCGACTTTTATAGTTCTCAACACTTATTAAGGGAAAAGGTGCCAAAAACCAGTTGGTGAAGAATTTACATAAATTCTTCAAATTTAATTTCTTGTATTGTGATGATCAACTTGAACATTATAAACATTAAGATTATCTTAAAATCTATTTTAAACCTATCCTAATCCACGCAAAAGGTGGAAGTCAGCTCTCCCATAAGCATGAACAGTTTGCAAAATGGGTAGATGTGGGTTTTGTTAGAGCTATTGGTTTACACACTTCTTTATTTGGTTTGCAATTGTTGGGTCAACATGGTAGGATATGGACACACAGGAGTGATACTTAGTCAACTTTCATTGTCTCAAATTCTTCTTATTCAACAAAATCTTTGGTGAGTTCAACTGACAAAGACTTCACCAAGTGAACAGCATCAGAATCATCCTACAAGTAAAAGAAATGTACTCAAAAGAAGGCCTTGAGGTCTTTTAAGTGAGAAGTTGTAAAACTAACCTTAAATTGAAATAGTCAAGCTATCACAATGATAAAATACTATTCATGCTACCCAAAAGAACCAGAAAAACCAATGAATCAAATCAATCAAACATAAAATCAATTCAAAAGGTCAACATTTGCCTTGTCTAATCAATTCGTAGATCTTTAACTATCATAATGATACCTAAACCTAAGTGCAATAGGTTTTAAGATAGGTTTGATTGTAATTAAATTAAGTAATGGAAACCAAATCATTCTATAATCCAAATCGATTGGTCTTTAGATGATAAATTAATGATTTCATGGAAATTTTCTGACCTATTCATACACAAACAACAAGAAAATGAATATCAGTAATTGAGTATATGTGAGGAAAAGAGAAGAAATGGAGTGACTCAATTTGAACTTGACAAATAGTCAGAAGTGGTTTGAAAACCTGAATGAATTTTGGATGTATCAAATTTATGGAATGATGGATATTGAAGTTCTTCTTCAAATGCTAAAATTACACTTGAAAGAAAGAAGAACCTCGATCATAATTCAAAATTAATATTTCTGATATCAGTTTCAAAATGAAAAAGTTCAGGAAGGGTCTTTTTTGGGTCAGTACCTTGAGATTATTTGGTTTGAATTAATTCAAATTTCATGGATCGATTCAAATATACTCAAGTTTTTGTTATCTTTGCATTCAACCGATTTAGAAACTCTATATCATTCAATACATTCAACCAAATTGTTTGTAAGAACTTCAATCGTGACCTTGTATTTCTTAGGTTTTTTTGCTCGGGTTCAACCATCTAGGAGTAAATTATTCCAAATCTCTGAATGTTGGAGCCGGTTTAACCATTGGATTTGGGTTGTTGGTGTTTTTTTTTTGATGTTTTGATGCAGGGTTTTGAAGTTGATCTATAACATCATCTTTCAGTTTTAGGTATCATAAGACTCAGTAGTAGCCAAAGGTTTAACCCTATTCCTTGCTCCAATCCTTTTCTTTCTCGATTTCATCTCTAGGTCAGATAGCAGATGAGGTTGGAACTTCAATTTTTAAATCTTTAATCGATTGATCACAGACTGTTTTGATTAATTCGATTTGATGATCTTGTTGATTTCAAATCAATTTGGATTCCGTATTTAAAACCTCTTCAAATATACTATGTGACTGTTCTACTGCTTCTGATTCTATCATTAATGATAATCTCCAACATGATGTATGTTCACTTCGATCTATACCTATTGCAATTATTGAATAAATTGTAAACACTGGCATAGTCAATAAAATTCTGGAGGCCCTAGGGACATTTTGATAATCTCTTTCTAGACTAAAATGGGAAGATTGATGATGTGGCTCTTGTTGATGATAATAGATATGATCTAAACATTGATACTGATCAGCATGTAAAGACTCCAAACTCCAAGATCTAGAAACGAAAAGAACTTGAAGCCTAGTTAGATTTTATTATTATTTGATTCTTGAGAGAATCTGACAAAGCGACTTACACCTTTCTTCGGATTAGCTGCACAAATTCTACAAATGAGTAGTACAATCGATCCGAAAGGTTAAACTGCAGATTCAAATTGAGATAGGTAGACAGGTTTGGCTGAAGTTAAATGAGTTTGATAAAGCTTTGTCTTGAGTAAAGTTTGAGGTCTATTCAATGAATTCAATGTTTGATGTCAATGTATTTCTTGAACGAAGCTTCAATTTGATTTTATTAGATCAGATGATTTGTTATTTTTGTTCAGTTTGATAAACAACTTGTGATAATTGGATGATGTCATTGATCACGTGGCAGCTGATACCGATGTCGATTGGAATTTGAGTCCATGTGTTGGATCAATCACATTGACCAAATCTGATCAATAGTTTGTCGACTATAGTTATAATTGAATAAATGAGCAAGCCGTGACATTCTACAGTAAGATTTGATGATAACTCAACTTGCTCATGAAGTGCATCAGATTTGATTTCAAGTTTTGATAATCAATCAACATGCATGAAATTGAAAGAAGTTCATTGAAGCTTGAGTCTGATGTTGACATTGATTTGTTGTGTTGAAAGTTTTGATGAATTTGTTTGAATGGAAACTACTTGGATTGAGGGTATAGAAGAATTGATTGAGAGGAGTGAGGAACGAATTTGGGGTGAGGCGCGTGCAAATCAGGTTAAATCTGTTGAACGTGTAAACCTGGAAATTGGTAGTAGGGATTGGGAGTTTAATCAGGTTTTGCCGGCGAACACGGTTTACCTTTAACTTGAATGATGATATCTTGAAGATTAGCACTGAGCCCCCCTCCTTACCTTACAATTTGTCAGAAGTGGCCATTTTTGCAGGATGTACCTCGATACATATTTCCATTTGTCAAAAATGCTACAGACGTACCGAAAGATGGCCTTTGCGCTTTCTCAACCATCACAGTCTCACTGGGACTCACACCTAACCAGGCACCCACTATCCGATCAGTCCTTTTACAACACCTACAGTCCAAGTATGACTGGTATGCTCAAAATATCCTCAAGTTTGCTGTTGACATCGATATCACACTTATCGAATCGATTTTGAAATCAACTGCTCTAACTGCTGAGCCGAGCGAATGGTTTCCGATGCCATGTGGAGGGTATATCATTGCCAACGCATACCGAAGGCCGGTGATTTATTACAGCAAAACTGAAGCAAACTGCTCCTTAATACTCCCATGCTTTGCACCGTACTGCCATGAACTCAAAGACAATGAATGTTATCAACCGATTGTCATGGCATTCATCAATAAGAATCATTTCATACCACTCGAGCTCGATTTCAATCAAAACCTGCCTATCCCTTTCATACATCCCGATTGGCTTGAAGTGCGTGAATTCCAGGCTCACACCTGGTGGTTGGTATATGAGAAAAACATTATTATTTATTTAAATCTCAAATGGCAAAGAGATTGGATCACCAATCGAGATGGATCTTATTCCAGGCGTGATGCTAGAGAAGTTGAGCCGGAGGAAATCGAAGATGAGCCGGAGGAAATGGATGCGAAGGTAGAGGCTGAGGAACTGGCTCGTGATTCTGACACAAAATTAACAGAAACAGAGGAACCTCAGTGGTAAATGTATGTTGTCTATGTTATCCATCATGCTTACGACTCTGCAAATTGAATATGTTGTTGCAATAAAACAAACAAAATTTCTTTCATAAATAAGTTGAAGTGCTATTACAAATGCACTTCACCTACAAGAAGCAATAATAAGGATTGGTCCTCAAATATGTGTTAAGCGTGTCAAGCATGATTTTCACTGTAAGAGGTGTGAATACATACTTCACACCTATTCACAATGATTGGAGGACGTGATAGTTTCTCTCCTATCCATGTGTTAAATACAAATTCACTGATTGATTCACACCTACAATAAGTGACAAGATGAATAGGTGGGAAATCCTCATTCACACATCCTCATATAAGTGTTAATTGTGTGTGTGAAGCATGATATTCACTTTAAGTTTCAGAGAGGTGTGAAAACATACTTCACACCTCTTCACTCTGACTTGAGGATGTGTGAAGAATAATTTCACTCCTACCCATGTGTTAAATTCACTTATTTATTGATTCACACCTACAATAGGGAAATTATCTTTCACACATCCTCAAGTCAGAGTGATGCCTGTGGAGCATCAGTTTGACAGGGAGAGGTGTAAAAACATTCTTCACATCATTTCACATTAGACACAAATTCACTCATTGTTTCAAACCTACAATAAGTGACAAGAAGAATACGTGGGAAATTATCCTTCACATATCCTCAAATCAGTGTGAATAGATTGAAGCATGATATTCACTTTCAGAGGTGTGAAAACATCCTTCACACCTCTTCACACTGGTTTGGGGTTGTGTGAAGGATAATTTCACTCCTCTCCATGTGTTAAACACAAATTCACCTATTCATTCCAATAGGGAAATTGTCCTTCACACATCCTCAAATCAGTGTGGAGAGACTGAAGCATGATATTCCTTTTAGAGGTGTGAAAACATACTACTTCACACCTCTTCACACTTATTTGAGGATGTGTGAAGGATAAATTCACTTTTCTCCATGTGTTAAACACAAATGACTTATTCATTCCACCTACAATAGTGAATTTATCCTTCACACATCTCCAAATAAGTTGGAAGCATGTGAAGCATGTTTTTCACTTATAACCACTTCACAACCGCCTGTTGATGTGAAAAATTCTATTTTTCTGTGAAAAGAATAATCTTCACACATCCTTATCAATTTACTTCACACCTCATCAAGGGGATATGATGGACCTTTTCACTCCTTTCGATGTGAACACTCCAATCCCCTAGATGTGGGAGGGGCACTGAAATCCAGGAATCAAACATCCTTCCTAACATTGCACACATCCCTCACTGCAAATGTGGTTGCTTTCGGTCTCTTCAGGCATCTACTCCTTTGGATAACTTGGTCATAACTGCCACATTTCATCTCTTTGCATATTTCTTCCATAACTTTTTACGCCCTGGACTTATGGCTGATCTGAGTGTTCCAAATGATTTTGGGAGCACTGTTCAGTATGCAACAATATGCAACAACCTAGTCATGAAGTGACTCCATCCTCCAGGACTTGGTTGTTGCATATTGTTGCATATAGTCAGTCTTTGAGGATATTTTGGACATAAATTTTAACACTGGAATGTTAAAATTTATGTCCAAAAGTGCCAAATCATTTTGGGAGGACTTATAGTTGCAGTTTAGCTCTCTTTGAAGATACTAAAACCACAACACACACTTGAAAACACTTGTACAATTTTCTCTTACCCTGGCTCATCCGGAGATTGTTGATCAGCAGGTTATTAAACTGAGTGTTTGAAAGAGGGTGAGTTGAAGTAAGGGTTAATTTTCAGGCATACTTGTACTGTGTTTGACAGTATCCATCCCTAATCAGGTCACAAAAACCGACCAATTGAGTTTCTGTGCCAAGACATAAGGTGATATTGACGCACCGACCCAAAAGGTATTCTGCAACTTATATTTTGACAAACAGTTGAAATCAAGGGGGCCAACAAACCATAATTAAACTTGGTTGGACAGCCCTGTATGAATCCCAGGGGGTGACAGATGTGGACAGATCACCAATATGAATTGTCTATCGTTTCAAATGAATAACTCTGACGATGGTTATCACCAAGAAGCTAGGGGTGACAGCACTGTGTTTATCCCAGGGATGACAGCACTGTGAATATTCCTGGGATGACAGAAGCATCACCAGTACATTAGTGCCACAATAGCACTAATGAAACTTCACCGCTGAAAAGGAAGCCCCAAAAAATTGTTTTTGAAATTAATCACCGCTGCTTTCACAAGCTGATATCTAAACAACCCCAAAATGGTAAGTGACAGCTTTCCATTTACCAATTTGCCAATACTCCTTTGTACATGGTGTTGTGCACCAGGTTGGAAATAATCAGTACTTGTCGAATCTTACAGTGTCTTATATTCTTCAAATATGACCAACCAGAAGAAAGTCAAACTCAAGAAGCCTGAAAACCTCAAGCGAAAACCTCAGAATGAGCTTGATGCTCGGTGCCTTGCCATGAAACGCCGTAGGCGTGTCCACGCGGAAATAACAGTTGGTCAAGCTGTTTCAAACGCTGCCGAACAATACGATCGCGCCGACCGACTTGTGCCAGGTGGTTCAGGCGATATCATCATTCCAATGGCCAAACACCCAGCTTTCGACGAGAGTGATAGAGACGAGGAACCAGACCCACTTGGACAATTACCGCCCAGTCCTCCACCTCATGATGCCAATATCACTGGTGAAGTGTTTGCTTTTGGCCTCAACGAAGGATTTCATGCAGGACGGCGCCAACGGGAGGAAGAGGATTGGCGCAATCGATATCCGGCCATGTTTCCAGTCTTCTTGGCCTGTCAGCAGAGGACCAATAACTGGTCCAATGTCGACACTCGATTTAAGGACTGGAAGGGACCGTGTAACTGTACAGGTACCATTCGCACTTTTGATGTGCTTGATCTTACATGTAAGTTCAATTGAGGTAAAGGAGCTAGCTATATGATTACTACTAATGGTTTCCTAATCCAGTTCGTAAACAGATAAAGTTGAAGATGTGTCCATGTTCCCCTAATGATCAAGTGCGCCTGATTCAAGCCGGTTATATTGGTGGTAAGCCGGTCAGGCCTCAGTCAGTTGTTACCATTCGACTTTTGCGATTTTTCCACATAGTGTGGAAATACTGCAGCCTGCGATTCCATCCATTTTCGGAGGCCCTTAACAAATTTCTGGATGTAGGGAATCCTTTATTCCTAAAACAAGGTGGAGGAACAAATGTACATCCATTATTTTTTTGGGTATTCATGTTCTGATGTTGAATTTAATCTTTTAGTGCCGTGAATGGCATCAGCCACTCTCATCAGCCATTGATGCGTATCGACAAATGATTGTCATGACTGAAGAAGCCGTCAACAAGAGCCTCCATCTTACAGTTCAGGACAAGCTAGCAGGAATTTGTCCCCAGTTTTTTGGGCCTGGCGTGGGGCCTCTTCCAACAGGGGAACCAGATCACATTGTTTGTATTGATGGTAACTTCCAGCACCGTAGACACTTGGCGGCTAGTATTGAAAAAGGTGATATTGTCACACCATCTCTGTTCTTACCTCCCAAGGAAATGGAAACCCTCCAAAACAAATGGTCGCAAACAGGTCGTACCTGTCGCGGTAGGCAAGCAAATAATGCTAAAGCCAAGGTGCCATGGCATGAAGCCGAGGTAGTTAGTGAGATTTTTATGATTCATATCCATACCTTCATGATATTGCTCTTTCAACCATAATTTCTTTTGATAGGATCCATGTGCGGCACGGCATACAGCCGCTGATGATGTGCAAGGCAAGTCTCACTGGAAAGGTTGTGACAAAACAGGGTTAATGGGAATGGGGTGTCGACATGATCAATGTCTTTGTTTCATTAGCATTATTCAAAGTGGTGAAAAGTGGGTTACCTTATCCTCCGCTGCAGTGTGATCTGTTTGTACTGATAGTGTGGAAAATGATTGCTAGAAACATTTTTCCACTTACCTTATTGAACTGGCTCCTTAAAGCCACCGAGGCCAGGGAAGACAGAGACGGAGAACTACATCAGACCCTTGGACTTCTATATGACATTGGCTGCACTTTACAAAAGAGCATAGTGAAGGTACGGCCTATATCTTATGCATATTGTACCCTTCTTTGGTTTATTTGAAATCCTTTGCACCAGCATAATTACTTTCCACAAGAACAGGAAAAAGACCGGCTCAAGTTTGGAACCAGTTTGTTCCACTCATTCGTGCACGAGTGGGCATGTCAACTTGATTATAATCCACGGCTCAACGATGGCTGGGGTCTCTCCGATGGCGAGGGAATGGAACGAATTTGGTCAGATTTTGAACCTTTGGTTAGGCCACTGCGTTACTCAACAAAACAGCATCGCCTGACAGCTTTGAACTTCCGAGCTATGCACCGGAATGAACGAGGAAGACATAACTCTGGTAAGAAGTCCAACCTCTCTATCCAGGCAACTAGGCAACTCCTGATAATAAAACTTCCTTTGAAACAATAGCTGTGCGCAGCCTGAAACATCTGCAGCAGACACAGAAAAAACTTTCGGCAGCGAGATGTATATTGAGGCAGCTTGACCGCCAGCATGGTCATACTGAAGAGTACTTCAAGAATCAATGCGAGCGTAAGAAGGCAATACAAAGTCAAACCATCAGCCAAAGCAGCGCCAATTACTTGGAACATGTGGCTGAACTCGTTGATTTGGAGGAGCAGCTAGTGGCTGCTCAGTAAGTTCCCATCTGCACTGAATGGCAGGGAGGGCAGAGATACTGATTAAGATTGAAATTTTCCCATCAGGGACAAGCTGGAAACCATGGACAAGAATAAACGGTCTAGGCGACGCCGTCGAAAGCATAGACATGCTAGTGGTGTTCCTAATACCTTGGTGTTGCTTGAAAAAGCCATTGAGCGTGTTACTGAGAAGCTTGGAGATGCCGAGTTATGTGAACTCACTGGTAAATCAGGTGCTTCCAATGTTGAGCGCTGTAAGGTACCCATGACTAACGCCGCCGTACTGACTAAAATATGGGTTCGTAGATTTTTCCGGACACTCGTTTCCGAACAATGATGTTCGGAAAAGGTGTTGTCCGTGAAATCCCACTTTCCCCGGAAGAAAATGAAATTTCACGGACAACGTGAAATTTCGGATTGTATGTAAAAAAAAAAAGGGTCATTAAAGCCCTGAAAGTTGTATTACCACTATGATCACCATTCAAATTTCCAAACCAACCACTCCGAACAACAAAGAGCGCAAAATAGATTGAATGTAAAAAAACCATAAACCCACCAATTGTTGGCTTTTCCGATGCATGCTTCACAGCCTTTCCAAAAGGCCGCAAATTAGTCTTCGCAAATATCGAAAAGCTCTCAAGAAAAATGCACTTTTCCAGACATAACTTATCGAATTATATCTTTTGACAGACTTTCGAAAGAAAGTGAGATCAATATGTATGAAGTCTTTTGAAAGAAACCAAAAAAGAAACCGAAATCAATATGAAGGCTTCATTCATTATCGAAGCGATTTGACAATGAAGCAGCTCAACATCCTCAACCGTCTATGGAACCTGTGAACGGATGTTTCCCTTTTGGAGATCGCAAGACGCATCCCACAAGGAGGGCACAACCATCAAATCGATGATCTCTGATCTAGCTAGATCTTCTTACAACAAACAGCAACAACAGTTCAACTAGTTCAACTGTCCCTTTCCAAGTTTCATTTATCATAACATTTGATTCAAACTCGTTCCATCATTTGGAATCAACTTTGTGATTTTATTATAAAAACTTTCTCCACAATCATCATTCTTTTTAATACGAACACGAGTTCCTTTTTTTCCAAGACAATATCATTCTTTCAAACGTTTTGAATTTCAATTTTCGAAAAAAATTACACATTTACCAATGAGTGAATCCGGCGAAGATTGGACGGACGACGAACTCTTCCACTCGGATGACGAGTCAGACTCAGACACTTCTCAGATCATGTACCAGCAAGATATTGGCTTACATTTACTCGAGGCGGAAACAAGCCCACCTCAGAAGGCTGAAATTTTGACCGCTCAAACAAACAAATCTCGCAGCAAATCTCGCACCGAGAAAGTCGGCAAGAAGGGTAAAAAGACATTTGGACTGCCTCTTGATCGTCCATCATTTCAAACTTTCATCGACCACGGAACTACCCTTGATCGCCAAGGTTATCCCCTTTTTCCCAATGGATCAACCGTTTTCGTAAAACAGCCGAAACAAGAGTGTGCCAATTGGCTCACTGTTGGTTTTGTTAGCACGACTTCAGGAGGTGGTACCAGCAAGCGACCTGACTGGCGGACAGTCCGTTTCACTTGCCTAGGCGTCGTTGTTTGCAATAACCCTGATTGCGACAATCTTGGTGCACCGCCGACTGGCAAAGGCAAGATTGACGCATGGTTATCTAAGTAAGTCCCGCTCTTTTCATTCATTTCGTGTTTTTTTTTGCTTTTTTTTTGGAAATGTGATGTAACATACTTTCTGGTCCACACAGACCACGGAAGTGTGACGCGGCACTTTGCAACGATTACCTCCGACTCATTAAGTGCAAAGACACCATCTGTCGGGTGGATGAGCACATTCCATCTGGATGGGGTGTTTTACGACACTCAGGTGTTCATGACCATCCTTGGCCAAGACGTAGGAAGCCAGACAAGCTCGCTTTGGAAGACTTTGCTCAAAAGGTAATTGAGAATCCCAATATGGGACCTTTGCAACATAAAGTAAGTTCGTTGTTTTAAAAACACTTCCACGAAAAATTGGCAATTAATACATGATGATATCACAGGTTGGTCGGGCCCCCGCGGGAAAAGGCGAAATCACCACGGCTCGCAATTACCACCCTTCGTTGGCCAATCTGCATCGCTTAGGGTATTATCGACGTTGGATTCTGGTGAACAACGGAATCATTCCTGAGAAGAAAATCCCGGGTTCAGGCGACAATTTCATTTTGGACATGGAAACTTGGGCTGAGTACGTACTTGTTTTATCCAAATATATATTCACATATCTTTCCATCAGAACCTCATACCAATATTCCTTTGTTCTTCATGTTAGACGAGGCTTGGAAATTATTTCTACATCCATGCGGAAAGAAAATATGCACATGACATTTCAAACCGCTTGGATGGCTGAACAGCTTTTGACCAAAGTAAAAGGAAGTGTATATACCGGTGGACTTTTATCGGATGTAACTTACAAATTCTTTGCAAATGGATATTTGCTCTCAACCTCAATGTACAGTGACGTACTTCAGAGGTGGATACCAATTCAATTGACATGGTTAAGAGGACTCAGTCAAAAGCATTATCTAGCTCACTTCAAAACATTGATGAAGCAGATCAAAGATTCCGACCTTTCAGTTGAAGAACGCGATACACTTGTTCGAAATGTGGTGGATTTCTCCTTAGCTCAGAAGAATGGTTTCATTAGCGCGTATATGTCAGTTTTCAACGAGACGGATCACAATGTCGCATTGTCAAAGCTGCGCGGTTGCAAAGAACATTTCAGGCAACAAATTACACGTTTGAAGAGGAACAATGCGATCATTCCACGCGGTAAAGAGGTATCTGGAAGTTCATACATACCTCAAAATGAAAGACACATTCAACTGATTTGTCTATCTGTACTTTTTAAATCCGCGTCCAACACGCCAGGGTGATTTTGAAGACCTTGCCATGAGTTTGTGCGACCGAGATGTTCCAGGAGGAAAAACTTACGATGAAAAGGTGGACACATTACGAAGGGATTTCCCCCAAACTAAACGGTGGATAGATTGGTGGCAAGCGAGCAACATTCAGGCGATGTTATTCAAATCGCGACGGAAGCAAATTGATGATGATGGCCTTGATGATGATATGCCCGAAACTACCAATGCCCAGGAGTCAATTCACCGGGTTTATTACATGATTTCGTAAGGTTTTTTTCAGTTTTTTACTTGATCCACATGATACTGATGGTATTTGGTTATTGGTGTCAGTGAAGGTAACTGTACCGTTCAAGTGGGACTTGTGCAACTTTACGCTTTGGTCATGAGCCTCCAAAAGGATCACGTTGACCTTTGTCGAGGTGTCACCATTGCGTACGGATCTACTAAGAATTATGAGAAAGTAGCGCAAATTCTTGGTTGGGCCAAAAAGACCAGGAAAAATCGTGAACCAAAGAATGATGGACAACCTCCCGACACAACAGAGGCTCTTCTGGGTGTTGTTTCCAAAAAAAAAAAGGTGGGCCGCCCAAAAGGATTGCTCAACGTAGACCGCAACCCAGTGACAACCTTCCAAGGTTTCAGAAGTTCCACGGTAACTGGTCGCCGCAACAGATGCTGGATGAACTCGATGTCAGAGTGTCTATACGCGCTTTCGACTCCTTTTTGGTTCACCGGTTCAAAAGGGAAGTCACTTCACGTCTACAACGTCTTGATGAATCTCTTTTCTACACGCGCAACATGGGAAGTACACCAATCCGGCAACATCCGTACCATACTTAAACAAAAGGCAAATGTAATTGCAGATGAAGATGAAGACCACAAAGAAGAACAACCAGTGAAATCACCGTCGAAAAAGGACGATGATGAAGGTCAATTGACCGGGAAGGGTCAAGAAGTGAAACCGCCAGAACGGAGAGTTAGAGCCAAACCGTACAAACGAAAGTTAAATGACAACAAAGATGAAGAACCTCCGCCAACAAACATGCAATCCAAGAAACTTCGGGTCAACTTACATCCTGCGGCCAATGTCGCAGAAACCGCCGCTGATACACACGAGGTTGCTGAAACAAAACCAACATCAAGCCCTTCCAAAGGTCAAGGTCAGAGATTCATCGATGTTGCCTTTGGTTCTTGTGTATCTTGCTCACATTTTGCTTTTGTTGCTAACCAGGTCCAAAAAAATTGAAGGGTTGGAAAGGGTATGCCTTGATTGATGTGGAAGATGATGATAAGGAAGAGGTTAAGGGATCCAGTCAAGAGAATGGTCACGGAAACGGTAAATTGCGGAAGTCAAAGCGTAAGAAGTAGTGGGATCTGTATTTTTTTCTTTTTCGTTTATTTCTATGCTTTTGCCTTTTTCTACACTTTTCATTCTTGTTTTTCATTTAATTTTACTCTTCTAAACTTTCCTTAAATGTTTTTGTTTTTGTCATTTATCAATTTTTTCTTGACTTTCTTGATGAAGTCCCTATGTTTGCGGTGTAATTTCCATTACTTTTCTTTCCTTTCTGTACTTTCCTTAAATGCATTTTTCAATGTCTTTCTTTCACTTGATAGCAGAGAAAGACAATGCTTCTTTTGTCATGTCGGTGTATTTTTTTTGGTTGGAAAAATGTTTGTGAAAGATCGTCCGGAAAAGTGAATAATTGCATTTGGAAAAAGCACTTTTCCAACCACCAATTTTGCCGAACTGTTACGTTCGCAAGTGAATGTCCGTAAAAATGTAATATTTTGCGCAATTTTATATTTTTACATACTAAAATTTTTGCGAGACATAATGTTTGGGACAGGTCATCTGGAAAAGTCAATAAATCAGGTGTTCAGGGCTCAATTTCCCGGACGTTTTTTTACTTTCATTTTCTTCCGGACATTTCGAAAATGACTAATGTTTGGAAAATTTCATTTTGGCCCGACGAAAGTGAAATTTCACGGACATCACCTTTTCCATACATTATTCTTCGGAAACGAGTGTCCGGAAAAATCACACACCCGCTAAAATATTCTATCCTCAGATGCTCAAGCAAAACCTCTAGTTAAAATCCGTGTTGCAAAAGGAAAGCTACTTGGTGCAAAGGTGGGAGTTATTGAGCATAGAAGGAGAGCCAGTCACGCTCGAGGTAAATCCGGTCATTGTTTCACTTGTCTCAACATATTCTTGCATTGACATGTTCACTGGTGATAGGTACTAATGTTCAAAAAAAGATGAATACTTTGCGACTACTGAAGAATACTAAGCTACGACAAAAGCATGCTACATATATCAGACTTGCCAAGCAATACAATGAGCAGTTCGCACCTGACCCATCACTGGCCACCCCTACTCTTCAAGAGGTTGAAGCAATGGATTTACGCCACCCGTTTCTCAACTTTGGTAGCATCATTCACTCGACTGAACCTTGGGCCGTTGACGAAGCAACCCAGGAAGGGATGGAAGCTTACATCACAGTATGTCGGTGTACGGAGGAGCTTCGCCGTATTGCAAAAGAGGCCAGACAAATGCTGAACTGGGCAGTTCAGTATCAAGGCAAGATTGACAACCTACATCAGAATAACACCAATGGTGAGTTGATATGTTTTGTCAAAGATTGTTTGTGTTTGTTTGGTAACATACCTCAATTTGTGTTCATTGTAGACATCATCCCAACATGGGCAAGTAAAGATATGATGCTGGCAATTGCTTGTACTTTATCGCGGGAAGCTTGGCGGATGTGGTTAAGCTGGAATGGCGCCATCATCAGCTTGCTGCACCAATCGGAACCTTACAATGTGTGTGAAACAGGCAGTGATGATGAATTACAAGAAAAGTGGAGATCAATGGTAAAAAAGTGTCTTGCGGAGTGGGAAACAATGGTACATGTCCCAACAATTGTGGGTGAAGAGGAAGAAAATGGGGAAGATGATGTTTATGATGATGTTTATCATGAAATACTTGAGCATGATGACGATGAGTTTGATTAGTCTAGAGGTCACAGATATTTAGAAAACTTCCACATTCCTTTTTCAATCCACTTTAGTGGTGGATGTGTTCCGAATCGAAATAAAATATTTCCCACTTTTCACACTGACCTTACACCTGTGAAAGTCTCAATTAAGGATTTGAAAATGGAATTCACACCTGGCACACCGCTTCACCAAAGTGGATGGAGTGTGATTACAAAGTTTCACACTGTCATTGCACCCGTGAAGCTTTGTTCAAGGGTTCAGAACTGGAATCACAGCTTTCACCCATCTGTGAAAGTGCGAATAGTGTGATTCACACTATTCACACTTTCACAGATGGGTGTGAATCACACTATTCACACTTTCACAGATGGGTGTGAGATGAGAGTTTCCTGAATATCCTGAATAATGCAAAGTGTGAATAACATTTTCACACCTATTCACAAGTGTGAATAGGGTGTGAATCACCTCTTTCACAATCTCACCACGCCTATGAAGGAGTGACCAAGGTTAAGAGGTGTGGATACCATTTTCACACTTCTTCACAAGTGTGAATACGGTGTGAATCACATCTTTCACACTTTCATCACGCCTATGAAGGAGTGACCAAGGTTAAGAGGTGTGAATAACATTTTCACACTTCTTCACAAGTGTGAATATGGTGTGAATCACATCTTTCACACTTTCATCACGCCTATGAAGGAGTGACCAAGGTTAAGAGGTGTGAATAACATTTTCACACCTATTCACAAGTGTGAATAGGGTGTGAATCACCTCTTTCACAATCTCACCACGCCTATGAAGGAGTGACCAAGGTTAAGAGGTGTGAATACCATTTTCACACTTCTTCACAAGTGTGAATACGGTGTGAATCACATCTTTCACACTTTCATCACGCCTATGAAGGAGTGACCAAGGTTAAGAGGTGTGAATAACATTTTCACACTTCTTCACAAGTGTGAATACGGTGTGAATCACATATTTCACACTTTCATCACGCCTATGAAGGAGTGACCAAGGTTTCAGGGTGTGAATAACATTTTCACACTTCTTCACAAGTGTGAATACGGTGTGAATCACATCTTTCACAATCTCACCACGCCTATGAAGGTGTGACCAAGGTTTCAAGGTGTGAATAACATTTTCACACCTCTTCACCCGTGTGAATACGGTGTGAATCACATCTTTCACAATCTCACACACCCATGAAGGAGTGACCAAGGTTTCAAGGTGTGCATGACATTTTCACACCTCTTCACCCGTGTGAATACGGTGTGAATCACATCTTTCACAATCTCACACACCCATGAAGGAGTGACCAAGGTTTCAGGGTGTGAATAACATTTTCACACTTCTTCACAAGTGTGAATACGGTGTGAATCACATCTTTCACACTTTCATCACATGTGTGAAAGTTTCCTGAATATACTGAATATTGCAGTGTCAAATATTCACACTGCTTCACAAGCGTTAATGGATTGTGAATCAAGTCTTTCACAATTTCATCACGCCCATGAAGGTGTGAAGGTTTCAAACAATTTCACACCTCTTCACAAGTGTGAATAGGGGGGAATTACATTTTTTCATCAATACAACTCACATGACAAAGATAAAATTAATACAACATTCAGTGTTCCTTCTCTGCCTCCTGATCAACTATGCTGTTGTCATCCTCATCTGGAATGGGGTCCTTGTTACTCTCCTTGGGATCTGCTTGTTTAACAACTACGTAATAGCCATCATTTATGTCATCTACCCACATCTGATGTGTCCTGGCAGCCATCTTTTCAAAAGCAGTTGCCAGGAGTGCCTCTGTCATACGAGAGTTGGCATGTTGTATGACCTCCATACGTGTATTGCCCTTGAAGGTTCGACCTTTTAATGTTAAGTGGGAGGACGCAGTCTTTGGGTGGCAGTCTAAGTGGTTGAAGGGAGGCTTGAGATATTGTCCTAGAAAGTGAGACTGTGAGTGAAATGCAGCACTTGGTCAGTAATTGAAAGGAACAACTTACGGACAAGATCATTCAACTTGGCTGTGAGTTGAGATTTAAGCAAATCACTAGCCTGCGGTTTCTTAGTTCGGGTGGGTTTTGTTTTGAGATCAGATTGTGTGATATGCCGGACAAAATGCTCAAGAAGCTTCCATTTAGTATTGGTCAAGCTGGTCCAGTCGTCCGAGGATGACGACTGCATTTCCCATTGACCTTTCTCGTTGCGTGTGTCGGGGTTCCACGAGGTTGCCATGAGGGTGTAGTGTACAGCATAACGGATATGAACTGTTTGAAGCTAGGTTCATTTGAAATTGTTTGAATACACTTTTTTTAGTCGAGCAATACCTAACAAATGAGTGAGGGGTGTAAGAAAGTTTACCTCATGTTCAATTCGTTCCACCTCTTCAATACCCTTGTTCTGTCTAGCAGTTGGGAGATGCGGACCAAATTTTGCTTGCCCTAGGTCACGTGCAACTTTATCCAGATCAACCAGGCATTTGAAAATTGGAAGATATGTATCCTTTTCTTCGGCGTCGAGAGGTACTGTCCCAGGCTCTACAGGTGGCTGATCCCATCCAGAGGCTAGTTATCCAAGGAAGAAAAAAATACGGCCATTGAATATATCCTTCTCTTCCGGTTCTAAGTTGGTCCAAGTTGTCCCTAGGTATTGATTGCGCTCTTTGAAACCTTCTTGGGTATTCCTTGGTGGCACTTTCATACAAGGTATTAATGAGAAAGTTTCAAATTGAGGACCCGATGAGACTCGACTTACTGTTGGTGTTAGAACTTTCAATGCTATACTTCAAAAAGTTTTGATAGAAGTTTCGTTTGGTTCTTATACTGACTTCATGCCTGCCATTAGTAGTAATTAGGTGAGGTAAGCATAAGCATATGTGAGGAGCCAAGAAAAGCAAAGAGTTGGTACATCTTCTCTGACTTACAGAAATTCATTTATTGTCTTTTCACGGCATTTAGCTGCTAATGCAAGCAATTTCTTGGCACGCCGGTACATGAATTGAAGATTTTTCAATTCTTTCTGAATATCAGAAGGGATGCGATTACGAGTTTTGCGTCCTGAGGCTGAGAGGAGTTCATTGATTGTGAAAATGTCCAAGTCGAGTTCGTTGTAGTTTTCAAGTGTGATTTTGTGATCAATTGGCGGATTTGGTAAGGGGAGACTAGTCTGAGTCTGTGTTTGTGGCCTTTTGGCACGTTGATCTTCAGCTGATTCTTCCTGATTGTCTTCATCTTGATCCTCCCATGGACTTTCCTCCTCTGATGAATCTTCAGATTCGTCTGACGAGGCTGACGAGGTGGAATTGGGGTTAGCCCTATCAGCTGGCTTTAGGTTGCAATTAGTTGATCTTTTGGTGTTTTTATTAGTGGATTGATTAGCACGGGAAGATGTAGCAGGTCCAGGTGTCTTGGTGTGGCGAGTGACTCGTGAGGGCATTTGCCGCTTTTGGGTTGGGGATTGTGCCATGGTATAATGAAAGAAGCGATGATACTTTCAAGTGGAATGTGGTGTGTCAAAGAGATGATAGATCTTTGATAGATAGATACTTGCTCGAGTGGTGTGATGTGATATTGTATGTAGTGAGTAGGATTACATGTGATGTATGAGAGTATTACACGTCGAGAGGCAAGGTTACAGTGGTAGGTGAGTGAAATGTGTGAAAGTGCGGGAGTAATGGCCAAGTGGAGTGTGAAGGGGTGTGAGGGGTGTTTGGTACATTTAGAGAAGGTGTGGGACTTAGAGCCTCGCGAGGTCACAAAAGATGCATCCTAGCATCTTAGGATGCATCTGCCCGCTTTCCTTCGGATCCGCTGCGAGGATACATGTACTAGTATCCTCGGGTCGGGTCCGAGTTTCACGTGCACAAGAGGTGCAACCTAGCACTTACCCAATGAGCAAAGATAGAAGAAGCATGAAAAAGAACTGAGCCCTATTGTTTACCATGCCCACAGAGATAAAAGCATCTGAAAAAAGACCAAAATCATTGGCACCTACAACAAGTAGTCCAGTTTCAAGTTTTATGATGATAGTAATGGAAAAGATGCATTTTCAGATATTTGGAATTACATCATCAGATTTTCTTTTTCTGTACATTAAGAATGTTTTTTTGTTACGATCCTTAAATCTCTCTCACAAGACTTGTAAATACACTGTAAAATCAAATATTTGAGTTTTTGTATTATTGACATGCCCACAAGCTGAAGGGCCGGTGTTTGTGCGTTGCTTCTTTGTTATGCACCAGATATGTTGATTTTGATGCAAATTTTGACCTGACACTCTTTTGAACAATAAGCCAGAAAACACCGGGCAGCGCGAAGCCCACCCGATCTTCCCGCGGGCTACCTCCGGGCCGGCTGCTGCCCTTAATTTGGGGTGGTCATAGGTCGGATATTCCCCTGGAGCTTTCCGGGGTCCTGTTATTAATGCTTGCTAAGAGCATCCCCAATGGTACCTTGTACTACCTTTGCTAAAAAGGATGACCGGGTCAACCGCACAAGAGAAGAGGTGTGAGGCCAAATTTGGCCGCAGTCTGCTGCGCAGCTGACCCAAATCAAACCCGGTGCAGCCCGGAAAAAAAATTGCAGGATACCACACTCTACCACAACAGTACATTATCGTGATTATCAAACTTTTCTGAAACTAAATTGATCTTAATGGGTTCACACGTGAACCCAATCTTTCTGGATTGGTCTTTGGATCGGCGTCAGGTAAGCTTGAATATCTTCATACTTTTGTTTCAGCATCTTCCATTAAAGGTCTGTCACTTTTGATTTTGATAACACTCTTACTTCACAGACATTGCCTACATCAGCTGAAACAGGACCACCCAAAGCCAATGAAGACAAAAGTGAAGACTTCGTTTTTTACCTTGATTGTGAATTCTATGTCCCCAACAAGGAGCAAAAGTCGGGCTTTGCACTTTATAAGGGCACATGTTGTCCAGTTAACTGGACGTCAACTCAGTTCAACTTGGATGAACTGAAGGCTGCATGCGCTCAAGCGGCAATCAACAATGATACAGGAAAATCTATGACAATGTTGATCAAGAAATCAATTGTCAAGGACGCTGGAAAGTGGACTGTCTACATTAACAAAACTCAAACCTTTCCCAAAGGAACAAACACAACTCACAAATTGTTAACGGCCAACAACGTTCAGACGTGGGTTGAAGATGCGCATGGCCACTATCCCAAAAAAGAAGCCGGAATTGTCTATGTAGCTCTTCATCCCAACAAAGTCAAGGAACAGCTCAAACGAGTCAGTTATCTCTTTCATCTCATCTCAATACACAAGCTGATTTCACCTCCCTTTCCAGGCAACCCGAGCTGAAGTCATCACAGCGTTGGCGGAGAAAAAACTAGCCGAAAAACGAAAACAAAAGCCACCTAAGAAGAAGGAAGACCATGGTTCCGGCTCCGATGAGTACGAGTCCAAAATTGTAAGTGAAAATACCTTGTGAAACAACATGGTATGTACCTGATAATCTTTGAACTATCAGGCCAAAGAGGGCTATTATGATTCGGATTCGACCACAACCTCCGAGAAGGCTATGTCTCCGGAAAATGCTTGGGCAGCCAAACTGGTGAAAGAACACAAGCTAGATGTTAACTACAATGACAACTATGCCCCTATCATCGATCCAACAGATTCAATTTGATATTTCGCGCTGACCGCAGACAAAGCCCAGGAGTGGGCCAAACACCAAGTGAGTGCTTTCTTTGTGTGAACACTGTCTTTGTTTCACAGAAACTAATGGGTGTATTTGTCAGAATAATGACGAGGTAGATTTTCATCATCCCCCCGCTCATATGAAATATGACTTGATAAAAAAAAAGAAAGGTTCTAATGACAACACTGCTGGGATTGGACAACCCTTCGATGCGGCATCAATTGCAAGTCTGTTTGTTGGCGTCGTCAACACCATTCGGTCTCCCCAAAAGTCAACCTCAGCAGCTCATGATCCTAATCGCCCTGATCCAGAAACTTCTAACCAAACTGAACAAGCAAACACCTTTGCTCTGCCCTCATTGTCCCCTGGGCCTCCCATTGTTTACGACCCTTCCGGACCAGATGGCATCGACGGGTTCCTAGACTACTGTTCCTTGCCTCCCGACTTACATACTTCTACCAGGCAGCTTTTGAGAGACGCGGGAGTGAGCGATTTCAGACACATCAACAACGATGACCTGCCTGCTGAAGACCTCGCTGCGAAAGGGCTTAACAAGATTGCCATCAATACCCTCTACAGCAACGCTCAAAAATACAAAAAGTGTTGCATCCAAGATAGAAAAGCAAATCAATCAGGCAGATGATCTCCTCATTTTCAATATCACATCAGTATCAAACTTGGGTTGCATTCACTTGCTCTTACGCGGTTACAGTTTTCCCTTAATCTTTTCTATTGTCCGATATCAAAACATAGTTGTAACTACAAATACATGTCCTCAGCAGTTGAGAAATCAAATCTTTATTTATGTGGACAACACTCGTTCACTAGCACAACAGTTTTGAGATCAGAAACTCAAAGAGAAACTCCAAACGATGACCCGAGGTATCTGAACTGATCACATCCATCTTTCAAATGAAGGTTGTGATCAGGTCATGACTGCATAGTTTTGTCTCAAAAACTCTTCTGATAGTTTCATCTGACAGCGAAGAAATTTTATCTCAAAAAAAAACTCAAGTGTCAAAATTGATTGATATTTTCATTAATTGATTTGTTCAGCTCTTAGGAGACAAAACAGGCATTTCCTTTCATTCCATCGTGTGACAAGGAGCATAAAGAAAAGCAACATAGGTTTGGAATTTTGGAGTACATATTCAAAACAATAATAAATCGGGCCTTTCATTCCATCGAGTGACAAGGAGCATAATGAAGAGGATCATAAGTTGGAAATTTGGGAGTACATATTCAAAAGGGTTATCAGGCATGTATATCTTGAGACATGCGATAACCAGAGTGATGGTATAGCTTCTTGGTTAAAGTAGCATCAAAGGTTGCCATAGCTGCCTTACGGATTGGTTCCTTAGGGTTTCTCGTGGGAGACAATATTTGCGACCTACGAAGTCGATATTTCAGAATGTTGAATCCTAATTCAATAGAATTCAACTCTGGACAGTAAGCTGGTAGATATCAAAGGAGAACACCTATGAAAGAGTTTGTTAGTGAAAGTTATACAGAGATAGAAAAGAAAACAAAACACTAACCTCTTCTTTCACATAGCTCATGAATGCGGCCACCGTGATGGATCGATGCGTTATCCAGGACCAGGATACTGTTGGGAGCTGGGTATCGATTCATCCAGGGAAGCTGACACATCAAGAGATTAGTCCAGCGTTTTATGTAGCACAGGGAGGTGAGTTATGAGCGGCTTACCAAATTGAATTCAGGAAATTGTTCAAAACGTTTCCTTTTGACAGATCCCTCTACGACGGATAGAGCCAGTATTCCACGGTAACTAATTGCTGGGAGGAGGGAGAAGCGAGTCCAAAAGATTTTGGGAACACTGCGACTCGTTCGCGTGCCAATTTTTGCTCGCTGTCGCACTCGTAGGAGATCACATCCACAGATTGCACTTTTGTCTTTCCAGATTGAATCATAGAATGATATCAAAGTAGAACAAAAAAGAGAATCAATGAATGTAGACATTGAGATAGATAGATTGGTAATCTACCTACCAGTAAATACCATAAAATGCGCCGGAATGTTCATATTATCTCGCATCCATTGGAGTTTAGCCCAGATGTTCTTCCGCATGTTGCTCACGGCAGCTTTCTTCAAACTGATAAGTAGGCGAGATTGCAGCTTGAGTTGAATTGTACTTTTTGAGGGCATCTTTCCATGAGCATTATAAAGTTTTTCCCGCACCTCGTCCAAGAAAAGTGAGGGATGTTCGTCAATGATGCCTTCCATGAATTTTTGATCGGTGTTGTTCAACACTTGGCGTCAACCCCTTTGCTGATAGAGATCAGGATCACGTACGACGGCTCGAGTTTGCCGGTAAAGATCCATCCATCGCCGAAATGACCGTTCAGAGATAGGCTTTTTGAGCCGTCGTCAAATGATTGACTTCGGAAGTCCACGTAGTCGCCAAATGACCGCCAGGACCTTGATGTCCGCCGAATAGTAACGATACGGCATGAGAAGAGAAACGGCGGAGAATCGAAACAAGAATCGATGTGACAGTGGACGAGGAGGGGGTTGAGTCGAGTTTGTCCAGGTTGGAGAAACTGGGAACGCGTACTTAATTTTCCGGTTTCCAGGACCGGAGTTTGATTTGGGTCAGCTGCGCAGCAGACTGCGGCCAAATTTGGCCTCACTTCTCTTCTCTTGTGCGGTCGAGCCGGTCATCCTTTTTAGCAAAGGTACAGTAGATTTCATAAAGGTTGAAATCTGTGATTTCGAAAAATCACAAGCTGGCCCGTGCGCGGCGCAGCACCGGCCAAAAGTAACCTGGCCGGCCTGTCAATTCGTCAGTCTCAGACGACTATTCAAGAGTGGGCCTTACACTAACCTGCCAATCCGCATCACTCAAGAAGTTCCTCACCTTCCCACACGACTCTCAAACCTAGATGTGAACGATAACGCTGGTCATTCCAAGTCGCCCCTTCCAATTCAACTCTGATCACGATCACAACAATGATTGCTTTTTAGTGTCTGGACCAGCCTATTTGAATGTTCCATCAAAATCCGGCGATCTGTTCACTTCATCCCCAACTTCGGCGTCAAAACTTTCATCCTTATTTTATTTTATCACAAATTGCCTTTCAAATATGCCTAGAGCTCCTTGTGTTTCAAAATCTAACGACCCTCACGGGTCTCAAAATTCCTCTCCTCGCAACCAAGCATTTGTTATCTTGCTTTCAAACGGAGTCACATGAACCTAGTGACTGATCCCGTCGTTTCTGACGCAGGATCAACCATCGTCCCGAGGATTTGAATTCCACAGGAAATAATGTGGAGGTCAACGGCCTGCTCAATGATGCCAATGACGAAGGATTGACGTCCAGTATTGGATCCCGTGATTTGTCTGTTTTGTTTGATTTCAGTCACAAGGAAGAAGAGTGTGGTAAGTAACATTCCAGATTTGGACTTATTTTCTTTCCTTGGGCTGAACCTCAACTTTTTAATAGATGAGGTGCCAACTCCTGATCAACCAAAAGGTAAGGGCCACTTCACTTCATGCTTGTGGTCTCTGTTTGGTTCATGAGTTTGGATTTCATATTTCCTGTCTCAATCACCAGTTGTTCAACAAGATCGTAAGCAATCCTTCAAGCTATATTTTATTTCACTGCAGCACTGACCTACTTTGCCCCTAGTTGCCTCGCCTGAAGTCTCCAAGCAGAAGCTATGGGATCTCACCATAATGTTTGGGTTGTATACCCCCAAAGCCACCACTGGACCGGTGAAGGCCAATCACAAGCGCAAATGGATCCAACACAAATTCCCCGTCACCAAGCAGCAGATCAACAGCAGCAACGATTCGATTGCTATGTTGAAAAATCGCTTATTCAACATTGCCGACAAGTTACGAAACGATACGGCAGGTGGTATGAGTGCGTTATTCAAAACCGCAGATGCCAACAAGCAGCTCTCGGTCGGGGTCTATGTTTTCAACCACCCAACCTATGGTAAGGGCAAAGGTTGTGTGGTCACCAAGGACCCGCATCTCAAATCGTTCTTCAAAGCCGTGGGAGATAACCCAGCTCAAGAAGCTGGTATCAGTTTAACGATGGAACACCCTGGGAAAGCAGCGCAACAGGCGCTTGATGTAAGTTTGAGTGATTCTATTTGGTTGCTTGTCTCTTTTCCTCGCCATCTCACTGCTTTGTTATTCCTCCCTAGGAACGATCGCTGGCCCATGCTATGTTGACTGCCACCAACATAGTCAACAAAGGGCAGCCCACTGGGTGTGACGAGCTCGCGCATTCGGACCCTGTCCCCAAGCGCAAACTTGTGCTTAACGAGTTGATTTGACATCACGAGAAAAAAGGGAATAGCACGGCTGAAGGTTACCGTGTTGTGTGCACGCGCGACTCCACCTTGATCATGAACTTGACCTTCGAACATATGATCGAGTGGGCCAAGTTATTGGTAAGGCGTTTTTCCTATGCTCATAACTTTGAATCCACATTGACCAAGTCGCTGCGATATGGCTTTCTTTTGCCTACAGGCGATTGGCACCATTGGGGTGACTTTGGACAACCCCCCGACAAAAATCCCCGGTTTCAAGTGGGAAAGCACCAAACGCTCACTCGTCACTACTACCCCTTTTTTTGCTGTGAAACAAGCCAAGACCAGCTCAACCACCACCACCACCGAGGCTCCTGGTCCTTGGGGTTACGGTCAAATGCAGGGCATGCATTTGGCAGTTGACCTCGAGGAGGCCCGACATTTGGCCTCCTTCGCCACCATCAATGAGTACATTGCTTTTGCTGGAGTTCCGGCAGATGAAGTCGATTACGTTACCGAGATCTTCGAGGAGAATGGCATTCAAAACTTTTTTCAATTCCTCTTCCAGGACGCCTTCAACGCACGCAATATGGAACGCTGGGGCATCCAATTTGGTACTGGTCTCATGTTAATGGAGAATGCCCGCAGGTTCTACATTCATCTGGTGATGCTTGAAGAAGCCAGGCTTTGAGTGATGCCTATTGTGATTCCTGACACAGATGAAGACAATGAGGAAGTCAAAGTGATGCCTTCCAAAAGAAAATGATCACTTTCATTTTGTTTCCACTCCAAAAAAAACCAATCCTTGTCTAATCAACAATATCAAATATTGTTTGTGTTATTTTTTTTTGGTTACTTTGAATTGTTGTCTTCTTATCCCACTCAAAAAAAGATCAATATGTGGCTATTCAGTCAAATTTGTTTGTTGTAGTCTTTGCTTTTTTTGTTTTATAAAAATCGTATTCTCAGTCCCCCCAAAAAAACGTCCAATACTTGTCTTTTCAACAATATCAATTATTGTTTGTGTTACCTTTCATTTTTGATTTTTTGTTGAGTTTGAATTGTTGTCCGATTATCCCACTCAAAAAAAGATCAATACGTGGCTTTTCAGTCAAATTAGTTGGTTGTAGTCTTCATAATTTTTTTGTTTTATCAAAACCGTATTGCCATCTCCCCGAAATGTGATATCTTTGCTATTGGCTCAAATGTTTTCCTTTAGTCAGTGTATCACTGCGAGTTCCTTTTGATGAGTGTCGCAGCACTGCCGGCATATTTGGCTCGGAGACAAACGTCCGAGGAGTCCTCGGACGGCGCCCCCGAGGAAAAGGGCACCCGAGGGCTAATTCCAAGGCAAATGTT